CCCCATCACCTCCAGACTTGTTCATTCCCGCGACTATTTTGCGCCTAAGAACTGTTGCTTGGAGAGAGTCCATGCCGAGTTCAAAGAAGTCGTCTTGGTCGGTCCATTCGTCGTCATCCCCGAGATTCAAGCCTCTTTCCACCATGTTTCTCAACCAGGTTCTAATATCCTCGGTCTGCCCTGCAGGAGGCATAGCTTCAATCCCCTCGTGCTCGGACTTTTTGTACGCTTCCTCGATCTCGTCTGTGAAGTCTTTCACAATGGTCTTCCGGATCAAACTGCCCTTGTCGGTTCGAGCAAGTGGTTTGTAAGACGGAGCTGTCACAACTATCATGCTCTTGGAGGTGATCTTGCCATGTGCATCGGTGAACTCATTTCCGGCCTCGACAGAAGGCCAGATGGAGTCAATGTATGATTTGACTTGAGCTTCATCTGTTGGGTCAATTTCGATATTGGTCTCAACGATCAATCCGATGTTGAATCTCCCATCTCCAAAAGCGATTGCATCCTTCACCTTGCTATCATTTGAAACAGTCGATTCCATCATCCTTGGGAGGATCTTCTCTCCAGTTGCAAGAATAAGCAGGTCATCTGCACGACCAAGAACCCTGAACTGTGTTTCCGGTTGGAGGGGGTTGCATTGAAGCAAGTCCGATACTGGAAACTCAACACCCCATCCGAACGGGTAACCTATGAGCTTGAAGAGGCCATCTTCAGCCGGTTCTACCCGCAGACCGATGTCTTTACGGAGCTGGATATAATGCCAGTCGTAGTCTGGACCGGGAATGAATATAGGAGCAATTGCACCGATTTCGGTGCACCCCATATGATTCAGAAGCTTTACACCTGCCGCAACAAGTGCCTCTGCATTACCGGACTTGATCGGTCCTCCACCAACAACCACATAATCTAATTGTTTAAGGACATCCAGACCTTCGTTGTTGGGTAGCTTCTCAATATCCTCAAGAATCGAGGGAACAGACATAAGGGAACGGGCATTACAGCTGCGTATCAGGGCAAGAGTAGACGTTGCTGTTGGAATTACAGAAGCTGCAGGGATGCAGAAGGGCTTGCCGATCGATAATGAGAGTGATATTGCGAGAAGGCCAAAACCCTATAAAAATTAGAAAATATACTTTATTTCCCGAATACCAATATGATAACTCACATGGAAGAGTGGAAGTGTAGAGCAACTGACACCGTCCACCTTTTCTTCAGGGCCAAACAAATGATTGTTTGCATATCCCAGAAGATATTTGTGCGGGTGATAAATTGGTTTCGGCAAGCCGGTGGTGCCGGAGGAATGCATAATGACTACATTACGATCCATCTCATCGACGACGTTGTAGGTTGGGGGTACCTCCAGTGAAGCCCATCCGATTGGATCGGAGTCATCGAGATAACGTTCATACGAGATGGGTTCATAGACTGCGGGTGGTTTTTCGCCTTCATCATAGGATGACAGCGCATCGGTTGCCGCACGTGTGCAGCGGGTTGAGACCAGTACGGCTCCTGCCGATGTGGCTTTCAAGAGATGTGCAATCGCGACTGGTGTAAGCCGTGCTGAAAGAAGAACAACCTAACATAATGTTAGACAAAACCACCGCACTTTGCGCCTAGCAGATGTTTCACTCACAGGTACGCCAAGCGCCAAAAGCGCCATCATGTAGATAATAATCCCCACATCACTGCCCATCAGTATCCCAACTGCGGGGGATTTTGTAACCCTCCCATCTGCGTCGACCTTGGGAAGTTCAATTCCGGCGACGTTAGAAGTGAGCCATGCCTTGCAGCGGTCGACTGCCTTCTGCAACTGTGCGAAAGTAACTGGGACTGGCGGCTCGCTAGAATCTTTGACGCCTTGGAAACAAAAGAGAGAGGATCCATTATGCTTAGCATTGAAGGCGAGCAGCTCAGGGAAGGTTCTTATGTTGTCATTCTTGGTGGCAGCTAGCGGGTGAAGAAGCTCGAAATTTGGCCGGCGAAAAGACATTGTTGTAGATGAGTTTCGCTTGAAAAACTTCTTTAAGAAACTGGTCATACGAATTCTGAGAGTTCTGACCAAGATTTGGAGTTTTTTATAAAAAGTTTTTTGCAACAGAAATTCTGTCTTGCGGTTTTTTGAATTGTTGGATGCCAGCGTGGTGATCTGGAGGAATTCAAGTTCAGCTACTGAAGTAGAGCTTTTATGTCCAAGGCACAGCTAGGACCAGAATAAAGCACGTGGTATAAGATCTTAACATAACATGAGTGAGACTGATCTTGGGTATATATATATCCGCCAACTTTACACACTCCCAACGGCATATGTACATGTACATGTAGAGTACACGCTTTCACCCTAGCCATTACTAACCAGTTCGGGTTACTAATATTATAAGAGGATCCAGGTAAATGTGAATGTGTTTTTGTACTTTGATCCTGCAGTCGCTATACAGGATTGAATGCTACTACTCTCTTGGTCAACGAGAGTGTATGCCATTAGTCTTGGTACCTGTAGGTAAAGTCGGACTTTTCACTAGTCCATCGGCCTTGGTTGCAATTGTAGAGTGCCTACAATTGTACCTACCTACATCCTCGAATCCGGGTCAGAGTCTGCGTCCGGAGTAATGGGCGTTACTCATAGGTTGTTGTCCTGCCGAGGTAATGGATACATCCGTATTCAATTTTATCACGTATTTAGTCAAAAATAGGTACATACACAGCCAGGTAAGATAATAATGGCTATGATTTGATGAGGCTTACTGCCTCTCGTATCAAGCTTGTTTTTCATCGATTGAATCTTCAATCATGTACATACACATGCAGCCTTCTTTCTTTTTCCTTTTCCGGCGATGAGCCCGGCTGGTTCCTTCAAGTGGTATCATAATAATATCTTTGCCCGAGAAAGGATCGTTTACCTTGCGCCAACCAATCATGGTTCGCATCTATAGTCAATGACTGGATACAACCCAGGGTACAGTACGCGAACGAAGAGGAAGGAAGAGGGGGGGGGGGGGGGGGCAAGCATGCAGCAAAAGCTGTATCTCTATTGCTTCTTCTAGAAAACTCTTTATATGGTAGTGTCAATTGTGTGGTGTGGCATGGAGTAATGAAGCATCCCAGCACAGGGGACATGGTAAAGTTAGAGGGGACCTCCGTATGGCCATATGAGGTGTTCCAATCTTCGCTAATCTTTCGACATGTAGTACCGCATCCAGGGTGCAGATATGGATCGAGTGATCGTGCATTCGGTCCCTGAGAAGACAGAAGCTTATCACGGGGCAAGAGGCTAAATATCAAAATAGCCTAGGGCAATAATCACGTACTTGATTTTTGCTCTACGATGCTAGTGGGATGATTTCGACATCATTAGTGGGTGTGGATCATGTTGTAAGCCGGGTTTTGGGGGTCGCCTTGGTGCACATGGATAATGTTCTTGTCAATCGTTTCTGCATCAGCGGATTACCCGCGGATGGGATATGTTCTAGTTGCTTGATCATACCTTCAGCTTCGGCTGCACTTTAGTTTTAGTGTAGTTATAAAATATATACTTCGGTGGGGCCGGAACGTGTAACGTGTACTTTTCCCGTACAGCGGAAGATTCAGATGTGACCAAATTTATCTATCACTAAACACTGTCAGATTACAATTTGTCGAATCATTAAACTCGACGGATACATTCAGTAAGGGCCCTTAAGCTTCAAATACGAAAACCAAGGAGGCGAGGTTCGAATCTAGCCAGAGATAACACCCTATCTGTATTAAAAAAGCTATGCTGAGTCTTTGATGAAAAAGGGAAAACCACAGAAATTTCAAAGGGGCTATTCGAACCGAGAATAGAACTCGGTTAAAGATTTACCAAAGGAAAGTTGAGGGGTGGTAGAGATTCTAGTGCGTAGTGCTTGTGGTGTATACAGTTCAGATTACTCGGAGTACATGCCAAGACATATCGCACTGCCCGCCCCCCAGCGAATCGACGCTACAACAAATCGGACCTGGATGAAGTATGAACATAATTCATTGCAAATGCAGATGGGTTAAACTACCTGTAAGCAAGGCAGGGTCAACTTTCGCTATTATTCTCCAGAAAACTAAATCTCTCGTTTCTCTATTTCCTAATCTAGTTGATACCTATCCTTCATGGTCGCCGTTCTGGTCAGACTGGACGAGTGCTAAGCTGTGCCCCAGAAGAAGCAAAGTTCTTGGAAGATTATCTGGGACTCGACCCTGGCGGCGGCCAAAAGTTGTGGTGGTTTCCTGACTTCGGCGATATGCACCGAGTTCGGAGTAACCTTAATGGGTGTCTGCAACTCTGTCTGAAGCCTTTGTAGTGGCCAGGAATAACTCTCCAGTAGAGATTCCTGTTCGCCTTCCAGGTTCTTGGGCTGTCAGATTGTGAGCAACTTTGAGGCTGTCAGGCTGTGGCAGGCGGTCCACCTGCTAAGTCCCCAAACTTCAGAGACAGGCCTGTGACAATGACGATGTGGTAAGAATTGAACCATCCTACTATAGATACTTCAGACCTTCTGCACTACTTTTCAATTCTTCATCTCACCCAGAGACATTCTTCCTCATATCTACTCTCGTTCCCAACCCAAAAATCACCTCCATTCTCATCCTCAAAGTTAAAGAGATACTCCCCATATCTCCAAGCTTCACAGTTCCAGCAAAAATAGATATTCCCCAAATATCTCTTAAAGTATCCTCCATATCAATTGACTCTTTAAGACGAGATACCCCCATATCTCCTCTAGAGTCTTCCACATAACGAGACGTCCAATATCATACTTCCAGACAATCGGCTTCTGAGCCGAGATCCTCCTTACTCCCCTTCTTCACACCAACCTTCTCCGGAAACAGATACCCTCAAATCCCCATCACATACAGACAAGATATTCCCCAGTATCTTGGAAGTTCTTTCTGTCCCTACGACTTCACTTGATCCACGATCATCTTCCCTACCCCCCCCAATTGCAAATTCTGATTTTCTCCCCCCAAAGAAATCATACAGCCTCAAGATGAAGACCACAAGTATTCCAATTTTTGCAGGCCAAGGTTCCCTCTCAATATTTTCGCCCAAGGCTCGAACTGTCGCTACCAAAGATGCCTCTACCGCCTCCGGATCCCTGCTGCTTAAGGCTGCCCACCATGCGTTTACCGCCGAACTCTCCAGCTTGACTGATGAAGAGCGCGCAGTTATTGGCATTGACCTTGCAGATTTCCCCAGTCCGGGAAGTCTACTTGAGCCAAAGGAAAAGTATCAATCCTCATGTATCATTCAAGGTACAAGTTTGACACTTTTCCAACTCCTTCGATATCTCTCATACATTGAAACTACTCCCGGTGTTTCGCTTGAAACTGCCGCAGCTTCATTCTCTGAAGTTGCTGGATTCTGTTCAGGATCCTTGGCTGCTGCAGTTGTCGCAAGCTCACATACTACTGTTGATTTTCTCTCTAACACCGTCGAGGCCTTTAAGCTGGCGGTGTGGATTGGATATGAGACAGAGCTATACAGGATATCTGAAAGACAGGAGGGTGAGAAAGAACTGCTGTCCTGGGGTTTAGTGGTTTTCGGTTGGACTCGAGAAGTCGCACTCGAACGCATTGCCGCCTTCAACAAAACGGTTAGTCGGCCCCCACCTCCTCCCTCTCCCTCGTCGCACTCCATCTCGCTGGCGTCATCGCCTAAAGCGTCTTCTTGGGAGGTGTTTTTGTCTTTGCTGCTCGATCTCGTTGCTCACATATTGCAATATGGAAACTATCAGTCCACTGGACCTCTACACCTCACTGCTGTCTCTTCAGAGAAAGTTGTTTCTATCTCTGGTCGTGGCGATATTCTCGCTCGATTCCAGATTGAGGAAGTTGCTGGGAAATTCAGCACTAGATTTACCAATGTGCACACTCTGTACCACGGTGGGAGTGTCATGCAGCCTGTCAAAGAAAGGGTCCAATCGCATCTGATTCGACGTAACCTCAAGTTCCCCACTCTGGCAGAAACAAAGATCCCCCTACGTTCCACAGTTAACGGCAAGCTGCTTTCGCCCGCTACCTCTAGCAAATCTCTACTTGAGCTTGTGTTGGATATGATCCTCATTGAATGTGTCAACTGGGATAAAGCTGTCGATGGAATGGTTTCGAATGCTATTAGAGTTGCAAACGACACACAGACGTCTTTTGTCAACTTTGGTCCGGGAACTGGATCGGTTTTTCAGGCCCAGAGGCCTCCTCACCAGAATATTAACTTGATTGACCTGTCGCACACTTCGGATGCTGCAGCGACATTTGCAAGCCAGAAGCCACTGAGGTTCAAGCCAGAAGATGGCATTGCAATTGTTGGTATGGGTGTTAATATGCCTGGTGCAACCGATGTTTCCGGTTTGTGGAGAGTCCTTGAAGAAGGACTCAACACCGTGTCTGAGGTTTGTCTCTGCGACGCGAGTGATATTTTATGATTAGACCTGCTGACACTTGTAGATCCCTTTCTCCCGGTTTGACGTGTCGAACTATTACGACACTTCAAGCGGTACCAAACCAGTCAGATCAATGGGCACCAAGTTTGGCAACTTCTTGAAAAACCCTGCTGCTTTTGACAATACTTTCTTCAACATTTCTCCTCGTGAGGCAAAGTCACTCGATCCACAACAGCGTGTTCTCCTTCAAACGGCGTACACCGCCATTGAAAATGCAGGATATGTTGCAGACTCTACCGACACTTTCGCTCGGGAGTCCTTCGGTTGTTATGTTGGCGTCGCGACGGGCGACTACAGCGAAAACCTGAGGGACGACATTGACGTGTACTATAGTACCGGTAACCTCAAAGCTTTCTTAAGCGGACGTATTTCCTATGCATTGAAACTCAGCGGTCCCTCGCTTGTTGTAGACACAGCATGCTCTTCATCTTTGATTGCCATCTACCAGGCTTGTCGTGCCCTTGAAGCTGGCGACTGTAACGCTGCCGTTGCTGGTGGTGTGAACGTTATTACCAGCCCTGATGTAAGTCATTCCAACCGCAAATTACTTATGACAATCTCCTAACGCGTGATTTACTAGATGTACCTTGGCCTTGATCGTGCTCATTTCTTGTCTCCTACCGGGCAATGTAAGGCGTTTGATGAATCTGCGGATGGATACTGTCGTTCCGAGGGTTGCGGGATGTTTGTCCTCAAGCGACTTTCTGACGCTATTGCCGAGAACGACCAAATCCTTGGTGTTATCCGTGGTGTGCAAGTCAACCAATCCGGTGAAACACACTCCATCACTCATCCCCACGCTGCTACACAACAGGTCCTTTTCAAACGGCTTCTCAAGGAGACTGGTGTTGATCCTTTGGACATTAGTGTTATTGAGGCTCACGGCACGGGTACTCAAGCTGGTGACCCCGCCGAGCTTGCTTCCCTTCGTGGAACTTTTGCCCAGACAAGAACCCCTGATAAGCCCCTACATATCACCTCTGTCAAGGCAAATATCGGCCATTGTGAAGCCGCATCTGGGGCAGCCGGTCTTTCAAAATTGTTGCTCATGCTGAAGCACAGGACCATTCCCAAGCAAATCTCACTCAAGAAACTTAACCCCAAGATCGCTCCTCTGGGAACCGACGGGGTCGAAATTGCACGCAGTAATCTTCCGTGGGTTTCCCACAGGGAGGGCGCTCGTCGTCTTGCATTACTCAACAACTTTGGCGCTGCTGGATCTAATGGTGTTCTTCTTCTCGAAGAGGCTCCTGAGCTCATCGAGAAACCTGCTGAGCTTACCCGGGCCGCACACTTATTCGCCTTGACTGCAAAAAATAAGAAGGCACTCGAGAATCTACGCCATAAGTACATCAAATACCTTAGGGAGAACAAAGATACTCTCTGCCTTGAGGATGTATGCTATACTGCCACTGCCCGCCGTCAACCATTCGCCCATCGCATTGCAGTAACTGCTAGCTCTTTTGATGCGCTTATCTCTGAGCTAGAAAAGGCAGTTCCTAAGCAGATCCCAGCGAGAACTGAGGAGTCAAAGACCGTGTTTGTGTTCTCTGGACAAGGTAGCCAGTATCTTGGTATGGGGAGAAGCTTGATGCAAACCTCTCCGGTATTCCGTGAGATCGTTCTTCAAGCCCATTCCAGCCTTGTGGGTCTTGGATTTGTTGGTGTGCTACCTATCATGGAAGCCGCTGACGGAGTTGAGCCGGACTTGACGCCTAAACAACGAGTTGAGGCCTTCCAATGCACTATCTTTGTGTTGGAATATGCTTTGGCTAAATTGTGGATTTCTTTTGGTCTTCAGCCTGATGCAGTTTTGGGTCACAGGTAATCACTCTCACATCCTAATATTATAAAATTTACTAACTCTCTCCCTACAGTCTCGGAGAATATGCTGCTCTTGCTATATCTGAGGTTATTACTTTCTCTGATGGTCTTAAAATGGTTGCCAACCGTGCACGCATGATGGCCAATCTTTGCAAGCCATCTGCCAGTGGGATGTTGGCCGTCAACGCTCCTCCGGAAAAGATTGAGGAACTCCTGAAGTCTCGCCCAGATCTCTCCAACTTGACCATCGCTTGCCGTAATAGCACTGCAGACTGTGTCGTTGCCGGTGATCTCCAGCAGGTTGACATTCTTCGCGCCCATCTCAAGGACAACTCCATTGCCAAGTGTATCAAACTCGATGTTCCTTACGGTTATCACTCATCTGCCATGGACCCCATCCTTGAACCACTCACTGCGCTTGCTGGATCTGTCAAATTCTCTGCCCCTCGGATCATTACTGGATCCAACGTTCTTGGAAAGATCATTGGGTCATCAGATATCAACGCCGAGTACTTCGCAAAACATGCGCGTCACACTGTCCACTTTGCCGAGGAAATTCAGGAAATCACATCTCTCCCAGAGTTCTCAGGAAATGTCCGGTATATCGAGATTGGGCCCCATCCTATCTCTTTGCCCATGGTTAGATCCACTCTTGGATCCACTGCCAGTAATGCGGAGTTTATTCCATCAATGCATAAGACAAAGGACCCTTGGGTTAGTCTCTCGGACTCCCTTGCAGGTCTTTTCCTCTCCGGGTTCCCAGCGAAATGGCGTGAGGTATATGCTGGCTCTTTGGCAATATGTGTGGATATTCCATCGTATCCCTTCGAGGATAAGGAATTTTGGGTTGACTACAAGGAACACAACAAGGCAACTGAGGTCAAGGATATCGCTCCTGAGCCGTCGACTGGTATGGCAACTGGATACGCGATGCTTGCTTCTTGCGTCCAGCTTCCAGGTGATGGTGTCGATGGAATCTTTGAGACTCCGATATCCCAACTCGCCTCCTCTATCATGGGGCATCAAGTTGGTGGAGCAGCACTTTGCCCGGCTTCTATTTATCACGAGCTTGCCATGTCTTCTGCGGCGTTTGGTGTTCATTCTACAACAGCTGCCCTGCACACTTTGAGCAAGATCAAGTATTCGCATCCTTTGGTCTATGAAGATGGCTCCAAAAAGATTGTCCGCGTCACCCTGAAGCTTGATAGTCTCACTGGAGATAGCAGCTTCACTGTATCTTCCTATACTGACAACCCAAATTCATCTCAGCTTCATTGCGCCGGTGAACTAAAGCAGATTCCAAAGGCAAGTATTGAGCACAAGTTTAACCACCGAGGCCTCAAGCTTGAGCGTACAAAGATCTCTATCTTCACCTCGAATGGCCGCCAGGGTCCGGAGACAATTCATACCCGCATGTTGTATGAGACGATCTTTCCTCGAGTTGTATCATACTCCAAGCCCTACCAGACCATCAAATCTATGACAATCGATCAGACTGGTACTGAGGGCTATGCCATCGTCCAGATACCGACTGGGTACAAGAGTGGAAAGCATGTCGTCAACCCAGTATTTATGGACACCCTACTTCATGCTGCGGGCTTCATTGCGAACAGTTCTGTCACCGCTGAGGAAGCATGTATCTGCAACGAGACTGGCCAAGCAAGGATTCTCTACGACGAGATCGACTACGATGATACCTTTGGTGTCTTCTGCAGCGTTGTCTACCTAGCCAAGGAAAGCACTTTTATTGCTGATGCCTACGCTGCGAACTCAGCCGGAAAGATTATTGGTGGACTCAAGGGCATGCAATTCAAGAAGGTCAATCTCGCGAAGTTCAGGAAGCATCTTGCCCATACTCTTGGAAAGAAGGCTCCAACTCCTCAAGCAGCCAAGACTATCTCTACTCCTGTCATCCAGCATGTTGCGCCACAGGCCGCCCCTCAGGCTGTTGCCGTGGCTCCAGCTGTTGATGTTGTTGGTCAGGTTGCCAGGGTTATTGCGGAGGTTTGCGGTGTTTCCCTTGATAATGTCACGTCCGGTACCGAGATGGAAGCTCTTGGGGTTGATTCCCTCATGATTTTTGAGATTGCGGATAAGTTGAAGGCCACTTTCAGTCAGATTACCATTGATTCTTCTGAATTGGCCGCCTGCCACACTGTCAAAGATCTCGAGGACGCTATCTCCAAGCACATGCCTGCTCAGAGCGCAGCACCTCCTCCTTCTGCTCCTCCTCCAGCCCCGGCCCCTAAAGCAGCTCCTGCGCTCATTGATACCCCACCACCCAGTCCTCCGTCGGGCCCGGCTCTTCTTGATATCAAGGGTTTCCTGGAATCCATACTTGGAGTTTCCGCTAGTGACATGCAACCTGACACTGATCTTGAGTCGCTCGGTCTGGATTCTTTGACTTCTATTGAGGTTCTTCATTCATTGAAGCAGAGCATTGGAATCGATATTTCGCCGGATACCATGAACGAGTGCAAGACAATTTACGATTTCGAGTCCTTGGTTACGAAATCTATGCCTCGCCCTTCCGCTCCAGCGCCAAAAGACGTATCGCCAGCCAAAGATGACACTACCGAACTGAAGAAAATGCTGCAAATGACCTCCAATCCAGTTTCTCTTCAGACAAGAGCTGGTTCGGGTGCGCCCCTGTTTCTTGTTCACGACGGCAGCGGCATGTGTAACTACTACCAACGTCTGAGCCCGCTCGAGCGAAACACCTGGGGATTCTACAACCCACGTTTCTTTGAGATGGAGCAATGGTCTGGTGGGCTTGCAGATATGGCCTCGGCCTACGCTAAGGATATTCAAGAGACAAGTCCTGGTCCTTATATTCTTGGTGGTAAGTTGCCTCTAACCCATCCCCTTTCATTAAGTGATATCTAACGCGTTACATCTAGGGTGGTCTTATGGTGGAGTTGTCGCATTTGAAGCTGCCCGTCAGCTTCTTAGGTCTGGAAAGCCTGTCACTGGTGTAGTCTTGATTGATTCTCCACCCCCTGTCAACCATCAGGGACTTCCGGCAGAGGTTATCGCAGCGGTTTCCAGGAGGTCCTCGGGGGGCAATGCATCTCGTCAAAAGATCGAGTCTTTGATCAGAACGCAATTTGAGAACAATACCCGGAACCTTGTTAACTACCGGCCTGCTAGTTCTGGCCCCAACCCCAAGATGGTCCTTTTGAGGAGTCGAGAAGGGTTCTCTACAGCAGGCCTGAATTGTGCTCCGCATGAATGGCTATCGAACAGGAGTGACGTTACTCTTGCAACCGGGGGATGGGAATCTCTTGTTGGTGCCAAAATACCAGTTATTGATATCCCTGGTAACCACTTTGAGCCATTTGACCAGAATAATGTAAGCCCCTTCCGCTTCTTTAATACCTCTTCATAACGACACTAATTGTAATAGGTGGCTGCTGTCTCGGAAAGCATCAATAAGGCATGCCGGATGCTGGGAGCTTAGGTTAAATGAATGCAATTTTTTATCGGGATCGGGATAGACTGAGTTTTTTTATTTATTTATTTCTATATTTCTCTCTTTTCTCTTTTTCTCTCTTTTCTCTCTTGTGTCTCTTTTTAGAATGGTTGGGTAATGACTGCAAACATATCTAACGTCTTTGGGGAAAGACAATGACCTGTTTGGAGTGGACCTGTAACTTGGCTTACGGTTTTTTTTTGTTTGACTACTAGCAGTATGGTGGTGGATTGTTTTTACATTATAAGATTTCTATACTTTGCTGCTTTCTTTTTTCTTTTGTCTTTTTCGATTTCTTTGTCTTTATCTTACGGAGTTACTAGAGGAATACTACTTCAATGTTCATGAATGATCAGCCAAGGTCAATCTTGTCTAATTTATCTCGTTTGAGAACCAAAAATGACGAAAATGTCTTACGGGTAAAGCAGGAAGCTTCTCGCAATTTAAAGAATTCACTACAGATATCTGCCGCACCTTAGCGGCAAATGTGCATAGCCGGCTAATCCAACTGCTTGGCTGAAAAACCGAAACTTAAAGCAGCATAGGGAAAGTTGTTCTTCGAATCAGCACCCTTCCCGTTTCTGCTTTGCTTCCCTATTAGAATTTGTTTTGGTGGGCTCTGGCCGAAGGTACAACATATGTAATATTTTATTTCTACTGTTGTGTATATATAACGACTATTGCAGTGTTACTAAAGCATGGCCATGGTGCACGCGCGCGCCGTTATACAACATCATTACTGCACATGGCAGTGCAGCTTCTAGATCTTGGCGTACAGAAGTTGGGCGCCCAAGTCACGAGTATATGCATTTAAAATATATATATATGACGATCAATTCCCTCATGGAAACGAAACGATACACAGAGATAAAGTTATCATATCGCCTCCATAATTGGAAAGAACTCAAGCTGAGAAGAGGGCCTTGGAGTGATTTGTCTAGTATGAGATTCGTTAGGGTTACAGTCAGCTGTAAGATTTCCGTTTTTATATTATAATACGGAAACGCTCGTCTCGTAAAATCGAATTTTTCCAACATTCCCGGCCCATGTCTATGGATAGGTGCAATATTATAGGCGAACCTGGACATCTGATGACCTTCTGCATGTCTCTTCCGTGTATTGATATTATATGTAGGTTATCATATGTCAGATTCCAAGATTGAAGAAAAATCAAAGTATTCTCAAAATACTTTGAGAGAAGACTGCAGCCTACCAGTATGCCATAAAAAGCTATGATATATATCAATACTTACAACTTTTATGAAGAAGAAAAGCAAATGAGACATTCCGAAACCAAATTTTTCTGTCTTATGATTCTTATTTCAGTTATAGTATCGTTCTGGAGAATTTTGTGGAGATACATGTATCTTCCCAATATACGGACTCCGACACGTATGTGCTACGTACTGAGCAGGTTATACATACTTTAATTGTATGATGCATCATTTACGGGGAATGGCCTGGATTACAATATCAAAAGGACAATGATATTTGGGGGATGATTTTGCTAGGACAGAGCTTTTTACTTGCTGTGTAAACGGAGGGGTAGAGTATCACAGCTCTTTTGACTTCAAGAAAAGAGCTCAGAACAACACCTACTGGGTGAGATATATCCCACCGCCGCGATAAGCATGTATTTCCACCCCACTTCGTAAAACGGCTAGAGGGGATCGAAGTGGCTAGGGTTTTACTTGGCATGGACACCTTGGTGGTTATAATCCATCCAATGTTACCAAGGCGGGAGATGTCAAACCAACGCCGTGCGGTTGGCGCTCCTGGGAGTTCTTAAAAGTTCCTAAAAGCCCTAAGCTGTAGAAAGCGTCCACCCACGGTCCAGCGGTGACAACTTGCCCAGCTGCCAAGATGCAGAGTTTGGCTGCCGAGAGGAACCTTGCTGTCCATATGCTTGGGATGGCAGGTAGCAGTTTTACGTGACCGTTTCCCGCCCTGTCCAGGAACCATCCAGGTCCTCACACACTTCTCTCCGTCATATATCTTGCACCTCCTACGCCGTGAAATAACTGATCTCGACCTCCATTCCGTTTAATTTGTTGTGTTGTTTTTTTGAGGAACCCCCTCCCTTTAGCTCAATAATCTTTTTTTTTTTTGGCTGCGGGGTTTTCTCTTCCTTCGGTACAATAGCCAACCGTACATCATTACCCCATCAGAGATTCACATACAGAAGAGATACCATCAATTGTGAGCTTTTGATTCATCAATTACAAGGGAATAATATGCTAATCGACTCGCAGGTCCGATAAAATTACTTCAAAATGGTTCCGATTCCCAAAACCAGTTTATCTCTTCTACTATTGCTTGGGCTGTCCTCGGCCCAAGTTGTTGTTTCTCAGCAGAGCTGTCGCTTTGAAGGAGACGTCCAGTATGCTAAACCCTTCCTTTTGATATCCACGATTTCTTGCTCCAACAATGCTAATCCTTCCTCCTACTAGATTTTGCGAGAATAGCGATGGCCAGTTTGTTGCTGTAAGCACGAGGGCATCTTCCACAACTGCTGCCGCCCCCACTACGTCATCTGTCGCTTCTCCGGCCACCATCACAGCTGCTCCAGTTACATCGTCAGCAGCTTCTTCGACAGTGGATGTAGCAATTACTGCTCTGACTGGGTGCCATATGCACGACAATGTTCAGTTAGTTATATCCATCTCCGTGATATATTTAATTACAAAATACTAATTGATATCAATTGATAGATACTGTACACCTGCTCCCTCCGGGACAGAGATCGCTGTGGCTACCCAAACTTCTTCCAGCGAATCCCTTTCTACAGAGTATAATGACTGCCACAATCATGATGGTGAATTGTAAGGCATATTCCATCTATCATATATCAATTAATTCACTAACGCACCCTAGCTACTGTGTGAATGAAAACGGTGAGGATGTGGCTATTCATGCCCTCGACTCGGACGAAGAATCCCACTCGGAAGAGGGACATGATGAGCACGAGGGACACGGTCATGAGGAGGAAGATGAGGAGAGCCATGAGGGTCATGGTCATGAGGAGGAAGCGGAAGCTCAGAATTGCCATTTCCATGCTGGAGTTGAACACTGCACTGGCGGTACGGCGGCTCAGCAAGAAGCGACCTGTGAACGACCCGACCGCGAATATAATCTTAACATCCGCATTGGCTCACTCTTCATTGTTCTTGCCACCTCCTCTTTCGCTGTATTCGGGCCCATCATACTTCGGAAGATAGCCAAGGGTATTTCGACCACTGGAATCCGCTTCACCATAATCAAGCAATTCGGTACTGGTGTGATTATCGCGACTGCTTTCGTGCATCTTCTTACTCATGCGAACCTATTATTCGCAAGCGAGTGCATGGGAGAGTTGGAATATGAGGGTACGGTTATGGCCATCGCCATGGCTGGGGCATTTCTCACTTTTTTGATCGAGTACTTTGGTGGACGTTACGTTATGCACAGGCGCGGGCAGAGAGAATCCGCGGCTTCGTCTCTAAGGGAGGAATCCGAGATTAAGCATCACTCATCAGATCCCGAAATAATTCATGCGGGAGAAGGTCAAGGGCACGGACATGTTCACTGCATCGATCCCACGGACGACAATCTCAGTGTCTGGGTCATGGAGGCTGGAATTATCTTCCACTCTATCTGTATGTTTAGTCCAGTTTCTTTCTACCAGGAGCAATAACTAACTCAGTGCAATACAGTGATCGGAATCACAACCGTTGTATCTGGCGATTCGGGTTTCTGGAGACTTTTAGTTGTCATCATCTTCCACCAGATGTTTGAAGGTCTTGCTCTTGGCTCTCGGATTGCTGCCTTGACCAGCGTCTCCAGCCTGTCGAAATTGCTTATGGCCGGTGCTTTTGCCTGCATCACTCCCCTTGGCATGGGCATTGGTATCGGTGTTCTTCAGCAGTTCAACGGATCCGACAAAGCCACTCTCATTGCCCTCGGTACTTTGAACTCTTTGAGTGCCGGCATCTTGATGTGGGTTGGCTTTGTCGAAATGTGGGCTGGTGACTGGATCCACGGTTACCTCAAGAGAGCAGGCGTTGCCCTTACTACAGTAGCCATGGCCAGTTTGCTGTGCGGAATGATCTTGATGGGTGTTTTGGGCAAGTGGGCGTAATTTAATAATTTCTAGTTTAATGAGTACCATTTTGTGTTGGATAGAATTTTATCTATCAATATTTTTTTCTCTATATGGTATTGGGTTTTACTTTTGGGTTTATTTTCCTTTACCTCGTCTTTTCTTGATAGGTTTTTTTTCTCTTTTCCCTCGGTCTTGGCTACTTCTTCTTCTGCGGAGCCTTTCTAGATTTTGGCATACTTGTATATAGAGCTGGAGAGGAGAAAGGATATAACGAGATAACGCAGGAATGTTTAATCTACGTACTGCGAGGCAAAAAAAGTTCATTTATAGCGCACTGCACTCTACATGTGCTTATATAGTCGTCGGTAGCACCACTAGTCAGACGCCGCAAGTGTCCGCGAACCACATGACTACTAAATTCACTAAATTCACGTCACACCAAGCAAGGAACCGCTCTCAGCTAATCTAGCTGCTACAGCTACATACCACTCCGAAGCTAGCACTACAGACGATTGATATCGTGATAACATGTTGCGCTCCAACGGCAGTTTCGCTAGCGCCTAACACTACCACCACAGTCAGTACATGTATCATTAAGCTGTGCAAATAAGCCGCGCAGCTGTACAAGACCCAAATCATCGTAAACCAATTATACTATCAGTTGTATAGATATCTAGCCTTGGCGATTTCACACCCCTGGTTTGCCAAGGGATTTGGCGAGTGATTATCTATGATTAACTCTTTGATTTTCAACGCGAGAAATATCCAGCTTCACAGTCCCTATAAGACAGGTGATAGCACTACCTTTCTATTAAGTTCTTACCTTGGAAGCTTTCGGAAGCTGAAGATGCATACATGGAGTTGTGGAATCAACTGCTATAGTTAGTAGTGTAACATCTATCAAACGATGCACAATGGCGACGTTGTTAGTACTTTCTCTACTCTTATGGAATTCATCAGTCTTCTGGATGGATCAGCCCGCAGCAACCCTCTCGAACAGACCGGATCTCTGGATAGACTAGTACAACGAGAATTGCGCAGGCGGTGTATCTGATCAGAAAACCTATTGACTAAAAGCAGTGAAGTTCTCAACCCAAGAGTTAATTGAGTGCGATACCCATAGGTCAAGCAAGAGAAGAGATCCTTGCTCTATTCACTCATTCGCAAAAACTACTGAAACAATTCACTACACTCTCTTATAATGTTCGATACTTCCTCTCAAGGATATCTCCACAAATTTGAGTCCTTCAATCCTACACCTCAAGGTTAGGTCTTTTTTCGCACAACCTCTTTCACCTTGCACTGATGAATCTTCTTATGCTCTGTCCACGCCTCCCTCCCACAATCATTCGAACAATACCGGACAACCCCACCACAGCTACCACCACACATCTTCCACTGCCCCACAGCGCCACAACAGAAACACGTTCCCCACGGTCCCATCACAGCGGTCCTTTTCTCGTCTTTACCGAGTTCCAACACTCGGTCCACAATCCCCCCTCGCCCATCCTCAAAGTCAATCTTGAGCTCCCACAGATCGTTAAAAGCACGGGAAACAACGTGGTTAGACGGCACAAAGTCCGAGTTAGTGTAGCCGCCAAACAAATACGATTTGCCGCTCTGTTCATCAATAATCAAACGGGCCTGCGCGCGGTATGTTGGGAACCCGCGGGTGAGGACTTGGCTCCACTTTCGGTCTGCAGGGTTCCAGATATATGTGTCCGCATAGTAGGCAAATGTGAAGTTCACACCTCGATCTGGGAAATATGTATTCGTGGTTCCACAATATCCTCCAAACACAACAGTTCTATCGAGCCTTGGGTTGTATGCGCATGAAAACTCAGTTCGTGGGCATGGGTAGTTTCCTCGAGTTTTCTCGCGAGTCCATGTCTTGGTGCTGAAGCTGAACGCCCAGATATCCTCATATGTATAGTCACACTCGGCGCCATGGGTTCCTTCTCGGCCGCCAAGGCTCTCCCCCATACGGTTTGCGTTTCCGTACATGATAAACAGCTTGTTTTCCTTTGGAATGACCCAGGCCTCAGGATGGACTCTGAGCATTGGAGAGTCGTGTGTTGCGACCGGTTCGGAGGTCCCGGAGATCAGTTCCCATGTTAAATCCTTGAGATCCAATGCCATAAACAGGTTGCAGCCTAATTGCATACGACCATCTTGTCCGCCAAAAACATACATTTTGCCCTTATATACCTCCATCGCATACTCTGACAAGTCATTTTTCTCATACGGCCATTTCTTTTTCTTCTTGAGAACCGTTGTTTTCTTTTCCCAGGTTTCTTCAACCAAGTCAAACGCCCAAACAGTTTTAGACCCAAAGAAAAGCCAAGCTTTATCTTCCCACACTTTCATCACAATCCCAGCGGTGCTGTGTTCCTGTGGACCTCCTTGGGTATGGTGTGGGATATCAACAAGTCTACGCCATTTCCTTTCCTCCGGCTTCGTGGAAAGATTCAAGCACCACATATCCCTAACACGATCCTGCATTGCACTTTGGCCGCCCGCAACATACAGCTTCCCCCTCCAAATCCACGTAGCCATTCCGAGTCGTGGTGCTGGAGGTCGACTCTTTGTCACCAGTCTCTCCCATTTCCCCCGGATCTGCAGATTGGGGTAGGAAACCTTGAGCCTGTCGGGGAGATTAATATCAGGATGGCGGTACTGCGCAAATTTCATCACGTTCGCATCATCGAGCATCTTGGTGACGCGAGGAGGCTTCTGGGGCGTTGCAATGGATCCGGAGATTGAGGCGACGGCCCAGGAGTGGTGGACCGCGCATGAGGTGTTTAGAAGTTTGAGGAATACCTGCGAAAGGCGGAGGTGGTATTTTTGCTGATTGAGATAGTATTCCTCAATCAGGAGATTTGTGTTCTTCCAATCTGAATAAATGCGATGAAGGGACAAAGAAAGGTCGTGGGCATCACGTTAGCAATTGTTGACAACACAAAAACACAAGAAAATAAGAGGTCGTTAATAGAAGAATTTTTATAAAATTATTTAGGGTAGTTGTTAGGCTGGGCGAGGGAAAGTTGGGGTGTGGGTGGGGAGGGCTACAGAATAGCGGTGTCTTCTGTGCGAAGGATTGGTTCATGTAGATTACGGCAACTTCTTGAAGCCATTCCAGAGCCTATTTGAGATTCAATTACTACTTATTAGCCTCATGCCCAAGGCCTAACCATCCTTCGCCCCTCGCATGTAACTCACGTGACATGCCTATCACGGAAATAAAACCCAGCCTTGGAAAAGAAAACGATAAGAGATTGACCAACCTGTTCCGAGTTTCCTTCCCTGATGTAGCACTGCGCCATATTATTAAAGCACGCAACCACATCCATCATCTCCTGCCACACCAATTTCATGTATTTCTCACTCTTTACCTTGCGGGCCTCGACGGGGAAGACAAAGTCCTCACCCAGAATCTTTTTTGCGGCCTCGACATACTTTGCCCTCGCCTCGGGAAATTTGCCCGCCTTGAACATCTCGTTGCCGTCGTCCTTTGCTACGTTGCACTGAACAAGTCTGTAGTATAAAGGCTTTGTCTGCCGCATAGCCATCAAGAAACCCTCAAACATGGCAGGGTTTTCACGGCCTCCACGAGCAATGGTCAGCGTCCTCAGCTCAGGACGCAGGTCGATAGCCTTCTGGAGGGGTGGGAAGGGTCCTGGGCCTGAGGCATCAAGAACGTCGATGTTTGACATATTGAAGGACTCCATATATATATGGTTGTCTGTCTTTTGCAGCTAAGGACGCGTGTTGTGAATTTTGAGTTTGCGCTGAGCATGGGTGTGAGGTGAGGTGTCGTTAAACGATCTTGGCTGCGGCTCAATGTCAGGGTTAGGGCTAGTCTCTGTTGGGATTTGTGGGGGCTAATCAAGGATTGGCTTGGCCTCGGCCTTGAGAACCGGTGAGATGTGTCTTGAAACGGTGTTAAAGACTTCTAAAGACGTGCTTGTTGTTTATAACCTACGCCCCTACAGAATGTTCACTTCTCACCAGTAGTAACGTATTCCTAGGATGATTGCAACATTGTCTGTAATGATCTTGCTAGCTTAGAGTTTTGTTTGCGATATTAAATTAAACTTTAGCCAGCTAAGCCTCTTCGGGAGCCGACTAATACTGTTTATTAGACTGGCCTATCCCAAAACGTCGATATAATAAAGGAAAGACCCTATGCGGGCTTGGGTGCGATTCCTACTATTACGCGCAACGGGTCTCGTAGCTTCTTTGATAGAGAATTAATTGGCCCGATGAATAGAGCCATTAGCTCCTCAAAGTAACAGGCTTGACCCGAAATTCGTGAGAATATTCGAACTATTGTATCCCTTAGGTCGTCAGGCCGAATCGCAATGTGTTGCCGAACCTGATATGGTTAATGTGCTCAGTTGAACGCAGTTATTGTTCATTCTCTCCCTGTCTCTGGTGGAACAGGTGGAGCTCGCTAGGGTATGGTATTATACTCAAGGAGAGAGTGAACATTGAAAGCGTTTATCAGAGAACATTAACCATATCAGGTTCGGTAACACATTGCGATTCGGCCTGACGGCCTAAGGGATAATCTTCATATCCCACATAAACAAATGGATACAAATATACGAAATAGAGAGTATGCCATGTCTAGCCGGGATGTGGCCAACTAAGATAGCCAGATAAAATGTATTACTTTACCTTTATCGCTCTAACCGGGCGCTCTCAATCAATCACGATATCATAACCACTAAAACTATAGGTCCGAGTGATATTTGGTGAGCCACCCATTCAACCCCATCAAACCAACCTCTAAAACCCCGCCCCCTCACTCTCCCATCCAACCCCCCACTCCCTATCCACCGCAGTACCAAACCCGTCTATTACGGATCAAACCCCCAAAACCCAATTCACCCTCACCAACGAGTGACCACCCATGAACCACTCGGCTACACCTACCACATCCAGCACGTGACAGCTGCACCCACGGCCCGGCCTAATCCCAGCCAACAGATCATGACGCTGAAGTGGCTGGCCCACCACCGCCAGCAAGACCCTGGATATATCCGTGGCTAGTGTTGACAAGTCACGGCCAGAGAAGGTACCTAGCGACCATATCGTAGGTCTATCCAAACGGAAGTACCAACCCCCCCCCCCCTTCTCTCTATCCTATCTGCGAAGAGTGGGAGGGACATGGATGGGTAATTCTCACCAACTCGAGCGGGTTGTGCTGGTCACCCATACGTACTCTACCCTCTCAGTGTCTGGGGCGCGAGTAGAAGGAGGTTGGCCCTTCCTCCTCGCTCCCGAGGCCAAAACGAATGAGTTACTGACAGCAGTGACAGTACTGACAGCTCCTATGGGAAACTGTGGGGACGGCACGTGTCGTGCCGCAGGATCGGGAAGGCCACCCAAACCAAACCCGCCATTCTAACTCCTCCAGAAGTAAAGTTCCGATGGGAACATAGCTATGGATATCTATCGTGTCCAACCTTAAAACTGCATTTAGACCTATTTATGTAGGTAGTGCCCATCGCTCAAGTAATCGTAGAGAAGCCCAGGAAGATTCGAAGAGGAAGCCTCATCGTGCCGGTAATACAGAGTAATTCCAGAGTGCGATATGCGTGTCGGTCTGATCCTCGTCACGATACAAACATCCAATGCCAGTGAACCCTAACCCTACCATCATTTTGGAACGAACCAAACAACACCCGGCACTTCTATGCTCTCGAGGTAGGGACTCGATATGTATGCAGTTTGCATTTATTATGCTGCATAGCAGCAAAGGCGAATTCCAGGTTCAAACAAACCCCGCTAGAGTCCCCCATGATCCCACAGCAAAGTGTATATATTTCCCGGGAGGACAAAATCCCCGCTTTTGCTCTGTCTCCCTCTGCTCTACTCTATAGCTGTCAGCGCGCAGGTGCGCCTCTATCTGCGCTTTTATGAGTTGCCATCCCAACCGGCTCGCCCGCTGTCCGCACAGAAGGCTCAAGGCGGGAAAGCGAAAAAAAAAAAAAAAAAAAAAAAAATTCAATCGTCCATAGAGTGTAGATAAGCGGGAGGGGTAAATCTTCTGGTTGGCTGCATGTCATGTAATCCCTACAAGGAAGCTTTTCTTTCATTCCTCACACGCATACAAATTTGCACAGTGACTGGACCCTGAGAGAGAGAGAGAGAGAGGGTGTCACATAGCGCCGTAGAGTAGCACTCACCTTGTTTAACGGCCGTTACACATAGAGCAAAATGCCGGGTGGAAGTGACGGCATCTCATATTGATTGCTGCGATTCGATCGGTGTTTTTTCTTTTCCGTCGACATTTTTTTTTGTGAGGTATTGGATGGACCCGGAGGATTGGTTGAGACGGCTGAGGTGTGAGGCTTTTGGCATGTCACGCACGCACACACTCACGCATGCGTGCACGCACGAGGAGGAGCAACTGCTCACACTGGGCGAGCTGCGGGAAACATTCTCTCTGACTGATCTTTCTTCTTCTTTGCGCACCTAAGTAATCTCGAGATTTCGATAGCTGGCTGTGTAGATACCCACTCCTCTACATACGTACTCTGGTTGTGGTTGTGGTGAGGTGAGTTTGCACGATTCGGTGTCATCTAAGCCGGGCAAAACCGTTACTTGACAGGAAGATCTACGTATGTATCTAGGTCATACTCTTCTTAACCCCAACCCCAACCCAACCCCAGAAGAGTCGATCCACGCATGTCGTCTGCACCCGTCTCCTTCGGGACGCCTGGACCTCCCGTCGCCGTCGCGCAGGTCCCACAAAAGTGTAGTCGCACCAAAGGTTTGTTCCTTCTAGCGGTGCGGGTCTCCGCGAAAGGAAAAATAAAAACCAGTAAAAGGTTAAGGCAAAAAGCACCCGGGCTACATACTCCACTTGTAGGTATCAGAACTACACACCTACTCTACTGCACCTACCTACCTACCTACTAGGTACGGCAGGCGTAAGGGTGGAATATTATTTAGTGAATAATGGTGTAAGGGACGTTAGGACGCCAGGGACGCAGCACGTAAGCTAGAGTAGAGTAGATAGATGTATGTACCTGCTCTGGCTCAGCGACCGGCCATTCGGAGACCCTGGGTGAACGTGGCTCCAATTGAAAAGCTGCCTACCGGTAGGGACGCCCGGGTTGGTTGGCTGCTGGGCGGTTGGATATGTAGGATCAACCAAGCAGTTCAATGGCGAGACGCTCCCGACCATGAGTAAACCCGTCATGGTGGGGTGCGAAAAATAGACTTCTTCCAGGACAGGACAGGAGAAGGGGAGAGAAGAAAAAAAAAGGATGTAGGTATGTACCTACTCCTATCCCCCTACGTAGGAAAAGCAGGTAGGTTATCCTGTCTTATCTGGCCCGTCATATGTAGAGATATTTTTTGCATTCCCTTTCTCTTTTTTTTTCCCTACAATAGTTCTTTGCGCATTCAGATGAGGTGTGGGTTTGCGGTGCCTGGAGCGAGAGATATCCACGTTTGAGCGAGCGAATTTACCGATTTGATCTTTTTTTATCCTCTTTTGTTTTTACGATCCTGAGTTTGACCTACCGGAGAAGAGAAGGGAAAAAAAGGAACGATTGGGGGGAAGGTTATTATTGAGCAATCAGATTCAACAAATAAAAGCAATCAATCATGAGCAGCGACAACGAAGGGACAGCACCAGCAGTAGAAGAAGTGGTGGTAGCGGCAGAGGAAGAAGAAACTGTTCAATCAGGGCTAGAGGGGGATTCGGGGGATTCGGGGGATTCGGGGGATTCGGGCAGCACGCAAGATGCGAACGACGAATCTCGATCTGCCCCACAGGTGGTAGACTCGTTGCAGACTGAAGAGGAAGGGGACAGCAACGGGCAGCAGGAGCAGCAGCAGGAGCAGGAGCAGGCCGAACAACAGCAAGAAGGCCACGACAACCACGCAGGTGAGGAAGAGGACGGCGGTGTGAAAGTACACCACGAAGATGATGAGGAAGGGGAGGGAGAGGGAGCGGACGGGGACGGGGACGGGGATCAGAATGGGCATGTAGGTGGGGTGGAGGGGATATCAGAAAATGGTTGTGATGAACAGCCACAGCCTCCTACTCCTCCACCACCTCAAGATACGGAAGGAACGGAAGAGGGGGAGGAAGAGGAACTAGTGGAAGTGGAAGGAGACGATGAAGACGAAGATGGCGAAGAAGAAGATGATGATGACGACGATCAAAGTGATAGCGATGAAGAAATTGAAGAGGACGAACAAGAAGAAGAAAAAGAAGAAGTGGCAAGTTCTAGAGAAGTAGATGTCGTACAGGCCGAAGAGAACTCTCAACCAAAAGATGCAGTGGATGATACCCAACAACCTTTTCCGGAGGAAGAGGTAATAATCACACCAGACACAGCAGCAGCAGCAGCAGTTGCAATAGAACCAAGCCAGGATGATGTTGAAAACTGTACAGAAGCGGTCAAAGATCCCTCCTCCCCTTCCCCCTCCTCCTCACACCCGCCCTCACGGTCAGTTTCTCCACCGCCGCAGGCAGAGGTGGAGGCACCTTCTCCAAACGACGTTCCGGAGTCCACTGAGCTGCTGCCAGAGGATCAGCCATCGACTCCATCAGATCCACCGAGTGCGGACGGTGAAGACGACGAAGATAATAAAACTGACGATAATACTGGTGAGAACTCAATCAATCAATCACTGAACACCCTTCCTCTCTTCTCTCCGCTGCCCACACCCTTGCGCAGCAGCAGCAACCTGCACCTCTTTCCACTCTCTGAGTGGTCGAAGGCTGGAGCTCTCTGTTTCAAGAATCAGCATATCGCACCCCTCCCTGTCTCTGCCAAGCGCGCCTTGCTGCGGGGTGCTACCGCCTCGGCCATCCATTCAGCTTTCGCCCCATTAGTGTGTACCAAGCTAATAAGCGAGTGTCATCCCATAGGCCGTGACGAGGCTCCTGACCCACCGTCCGAGACAACAGGCGAAGAAAACAACCCCAACCCCGCCGACACCTCAGCTGAAGATTCTGCTGCTTCTGCTGCTCCCGTTTCCGCTCCCGATTCCATTGACCCCATCCTAGAATATCAAGAACAGAACGCCAACTCGGGAGAAGAACAAGAAAAAGAAGAAAGCGATCAAGAGGGAGAGCAGGTTCTGGTACAAGATCGCGATCAGGAGAAGGTTCTTTCTACTGATTTCGCGGAACCACCACTCGATTCCACCCATCAGCTAAGGAGAGATAATAATAACAGCAATAACATAATAATCACTGTAATTTACGACATTAACGAACCGCTCCCGCTACCCCCTGCCGGATATCAAACAGCCATAACCCACCCACATCCTCCTCCTCCTGTCGCAGAGCAAAACGAACAAGTTAGCACTGAAGTTGTTGAAGAAGCAGAAGACGTAGACGCTGCCCCCACCGCCGACACCGCCGACGACGAACCACAACACTTTCCGGTGCTAGAGCCGCAGCAGGAAGAGGCCAATCCCAACGACCCATCAAAGACTGACAACGAGGAGCTTCCTGGTGAAGTAGAACCCTCCCCAACAGCGGCCGAAGAAGCATCATCCGTCGAGGTCCCCCCGCCAGCTTATACCCCCACAGAGCCCGAAAAAGACCCACAGGACCCAATCGTAACCGCGCCCCCCATAATGTCTGAAGTGTCTGCACTGTCCAATGGCACTGGCTCCTATAAAGATGCCACGCCGCCCACCCTGCAGCAACCATTTACGCAGAATCCCTTCGAAACAAGCTTTGCCGCCGGCCCGCTCGATGACGAAGCTGCTGCTGCTGCCGGCGCTGCGGCGCTCGCCATGTCTGCGGTTGGCGTACAGGATGGTTCCAGGAGGCCCAAGAAAGACAAGTCTCATAGAAAGAAGGATAGGTCTTCTGGAGATGGAACCGAAAAGGAAAGGAAGCATAGAGATAAGGGCGATAGGGGCGACCGGGAAAGGGCCAAGAGTAGAGACAGAGGCGAGAGGGGGAAAAGGGACAAGAGCGAACTCGGGATTGGCGAGCGCCGAGCAAAGTCACGCGATCGTCTACGAGATGATGGTAAATCACGAGATCGGGATCCTAGAGAGAAGGAGAAGGAGAAGAAGCACAGAACACCCGAAGAAAAAGCCGAACGCGAGGCACGAAAGGCTGCGAAGAAGGGCTTAACCGCGCCAACGCCCGTATACGCAGATATCGCCGCAGCGCCCTACGATCAATACGACCAGCAATATGATCAGCAGTACGAAGAGGACAGGCGCAAGCTGAAGAAAGCCTCCAGACGTAACGGTGTTGTTGCGGGAGAATTTGTAGAACCTCAGATCGTGGGCGGTATGGAAATGCCATATGAGGAGGAGCGGAGGGAAAAGAAGAAATCCAAGAAGTCTCGCCCGCCCCCGATTGATACCGAATCGACACAGCAACAGTATGAGCTACAACAAGAGGATCAGCTGAAACGGAGAAAGTCGTCCAAGAAAGCAGCCGCTATCCTTGGTGAGCCTGTCATCATGAACGAACCCCCGATGTCACCATACATTGATGGACCAATAGAGCAACCCAAGCGGAAAAAGTCTTCCAAGAGATCACCGCCGCCAGATATGGGCGCCGAGCCTGTCCAGGTCCTTCATGAGCCGGATGCCCGGCCGCCGCCAGCTGGAACCAACAGAAGGTCCCGCTCCGACTCTTTGAAAAACCCGATCCCAGGTCCCAATGGGAGCGCCGGGTCCGGAGAAAAGAAGCACAGCCACAAGAAGAAGGATTCTGCGCATCTAACCCCCGAGGAGAGAGAGAAGAGGAGACGGAAACATGAAGACGACAAGGCGCTTCGAGAGGGTCGAGAACTCGGTATGTGCCCGCGGAATCAGACAAATATCTAGGATCAAGCTAACATAGGCCAGAAAACCATCTTTATAATGGAAGCAAAGAGAAGCGAAAGCTTGAAAAGGCCCTTCAAAAAGCCGCCAAAGCGAAAGCTGAAGAGCTCGAGGGCATTCCTCCCCCGCTTGCGACGCCTCGCTTTACGGACGAGCTCAACCTCCCGATCCAAAACCCCGACAACCAGCCCGAGATCTCGCCGAGTGTCTACGGCGGCGACCAGTACCTCCGGGGCCAGCCCCACCGTGACCAGCAAGATCTGAACGCTCCGAACCCAGAGGCGCCATTCTCACCCTCGTTTGCTGCATCTGACGATCTAGCAAAGGCCGAGAAAGCGGCCCGGCGCGCTGAACGCCGCGCACGGAAGGAGCGTGAGGCACGGCAGACTGATGGGGATAACCCAGACCACCCGAAGGATTCTGGTCACTCTCTTTCGTCGGAGGGAAAGCGGGAACGCGAACACCACCACCACCATAAGAGCCGCGACAAGGTCGACCGCACACGCTCCCGATCTCGGCCCGCGGGCCCCGAAGACGATGAGGAGAGACGGCGCCGAAAGGAAGAGAGGCGGGAGGCAAGGAGACTGGCGGCATTGAACGGAAACGAAGTGCGGGATGTGAAGGAAAAAAAGAGCAAGCACAGAGAGGGCGGAAGAGTTAGAAGCAACAGCGAGAGGAGCCGCGAGAAGGAGATGATGAGAGAGATGGAGGTGGGGTACCCCGAGGGCTATGGAAACGCTTCGCAGCAGCCGTGGCAAGCGGGGAATATGACGGACGGTGAGGACGCCGCCAAGGTCGGTTTGATGAGGAGGACCTTTAGTAAGTTTCTGAAGTTTTAGGGCGTATTTCCTTTTTTTTTATGGGTTCTTTATATGTGGAATGATTGATGGATATCATTTTTATGAATTGCATTATCTTGGGATGCATTTTCTTCTGGCTTGGGAAATGATTTTATGGCTGCGTTCGTTAGGGGTTACTTGTTAGTTTTCGTACACACCAGCGCTGGAAGCATTTGCTATGTCTTTTCTTCTCTATCTATATTTTCCATTACCACTGAGGCAAATATCCCATTTCATAGCGTGGAGTAGTAGCTCAGATTTCTTCTTTTTTCTCTTCTTTTTTCACTTTACGAGTCCGGTTATGAATTGATGTTGAAAAGAAAACTGTGTATGTGTACGTAGTACGGTGACGCGCGCGCGCGGGGATAGCTTAGGGTATGTGATGTATGATTGATTTCAACTAATGATTCTTGCTTGCGGGTTTATTTCAGGGGTATCATGGGTTTGGATACCGATTATTATTATTATTCTTTTGGTCAGCTTGATATTATCTAGTATTTTTTTTTTTTTTTTTTTTACTCCACTCAACTATTTTTACACTGGGGGTAATATTCGGGATCAGGATCGTGCAATTAAGTGTTTTTTTTTTTTTTTGTTTCTCGTTACGTGTTGATTGCAATTAATTCTCTAGCTATATATTTGGGGCGCGCGTTGTGTGTCTGGTGTATATACATATGTTTTTTGTTTGATGAGCTGGTGGGGGGGGGGATCGATGATGATTCAATCCTGTCTTATGCAGAGCTCACTCACTCACTCACTCACACTCACGACCATGTCAATGCAGGCACTGTACCTAGAGTACTCTAGTGAGCTCATCTCATCCTGCTTACTCTACCCACCCCACCCACCCACTTCCATATTAAGGCACACCCCTACCCTACCCACACTCACACTCACACACACACACACACCGTTACCCGGCACAAACCTCATCTCAATCACACTGTCTCACTCGGCCTCCTCCTGTCTGTCTCGAGCACGCCCCCCCCCCCCCCCACACCCCTGCATATCACCCGGGCATCTCCGGCGGTGGTCGGTCCGTAGGGGCAGTCCGGATTTGGGGGGGGGGGGGGGGAGGGGGGGGCAAGGGATAGTTTGGCTGTTTAGGTCGATAGCGGGTTGGTTATCGGTGCAGTGCAATGTCCAGCCAGGGTTGTGTTATAGTTTTATAAGCTTAAGGCCAAGACTTAAGCTTGGGGGGTATGTATATGTATGTATGTAGGCAGGGGAGGGTCCAAGCGTTTGGTCTGCGAGTTGCTCTGCTTCTTCTGGGGGGGGGGGGGGGGGGGCGCTGCGAGGAATAGGGAGGGATATGAAGTGACGGAGATCAGTGGATCCGGAATCAGATTCCGGATTGAATCCAGCGTTATAATTAACGATCGAACGTTATAATAAGCATCAAGACATGCATCAAGGCAACTAACTCCTCATTAATTTCACCCATGACCCCCAAACATATCCCCAATATCCCAGAGACACTTGTACCAACAATAAACAACCCCCCCCCCAATCCCCCCCAAATGGCCAACCTGTCAAAAAACCAAATTTGGTGGCCGCACAGATCTTCCCCTGATTTTATGTAGGGCCCTGTCTCCCCTGATTTAGGGTTATTGACGGATAACAGCTTTTCTTCCTGCTAGCTAGCTAGCCCGTGAGCACGGACACCACACTACCCATCCCATCCCATCCCATCCCATCCCACCCGAGCCCGAGCCCGAGCCCGTACGTGTGGACGTACGTACGTAGCCCCGCGGCCGGGGCACTGGGCTCGTCCGGGGTGAGACACATGGCCTTGGGGGAAGGGGAAGGGGAAGGGGAAGGGGTCGGGGAAGGGGAAGGGGTCGGGGAAGGGGAAGGGGTCGGCTGTCTGTGGGATGGGATGCATGCTCTTTTTTTTTTATTTTTATTGTTTTCGTGGGGCCGGATCGCTGGTACATGGTGTTGGTGGCCGGTCGGGAGGGAGGGAGGGGGGGAGGGGAGTGCGTTTGATAAGGGTGTACATACTGGGCCCGGGTGGGTGGGTGGGTGGGATTGGATATATATATATATATATAAGGATGCCTTTTCGCACCTCCACGGGCATTTTAGGGTTTGGCTGGACTGGAGTGGCAGACGATTGAGAGAAAGATATCAGCTATACTAAACTCCATACATACATACACCCACAATGCCGCCGAAAACACCCTCCCCCACAACCACGCCCTCCCCCACACCCACCCCCACCCCCGCCGCAACACCGCTCCCAAAGACCCCGCACTCCAGTAAGCCCCCCCCCTCCCCCCTCCCCCCAGACCCCCAGAACCACACACTAACGCCCCACCGCAGCATCCAACTCCCCCGTCCTCCGCAGCATCCAGTCGCACCTCAACCTCACGCACAACGACGCCCTCTTCACGGCCCTGCGCGCAACCGCCCACACGCTCCTCACCGACGCCGGCATCCTCCTCGCCAGCGCGAACGACCAGGCCGTGCAGATCCGGAAGCGCCAGGTCGCGCACGAGCTCGAGAAGCTGCACCCGGAGGTTTTTGGCCTCGCCGCGGGAGCGGTGGGGGGGGGAGGAGGAGGGATGGGGGCAGGGGAGAGGACATATGAGATGAGGAAGAACACGAGCTATGCGCTCCTCACACTGACGATGGATGTGGCGAAGCGGCGGATGAAGCGGCGGCGCGGCGCGGTTGTTGCGGCGGGGGGTGGTGGTGGTGGTGGTGGTGGGGGAGGTGGGGGTGCGGCAGCGATGGGGAGGAGGAATACGCCGTCGCCGTCGCCGTCGCCACCACCGCCGCAGTTGCAGTTGCAGTTGCAGTTACAGTCGCAGTCGCAGCCGCAGCCGCTGGCGGTTGAGTGCACCCCGCCACCATCCGCGCCCGCTGTGTCTCCGCCATTATCTACACCCACGCCCACACCCGCACCCGCACCCGCACCCTCCGCCGCACCAGCACCAGCACCAGCACCAGCACCAACGCTCCTGATCCCCCTCCCGCACCCGCTCACGCCGCGCGACTGCTGCCGCGTGCAGCTGTGCGACCTCACCGACGACGGCGCCGCCGCTTCTTCGCCCCCGACGCTGCGGCGGCTGCACGAGTGTCTGAGGGAGGACGGGCTGCCGTGGGAGTGCGGCGAGTATGTGGTGCTGGACAGCGACGGCGTGGCCGTACGGAATGATCGCGGGTTGAGGTGTGCGTTGGGTGTGATGGCCGCCAGGGGGGTGGGGGTGGCGGTGTGGAGTGTTGTGAGGGTGTGATGGGGAGGAAGGGGGAAGGGGGAAGGGGGAGAAGGGGGGGGGGGGAGGGGGTATATAGATGGGTAGATGGAGGGATAGAGAGAGTGCAGGGTGGCTGGGTTGGGGGGGTGGCTGGCTGGGTTATATAGTTGGTTATGATATGAGTACTTATTTTCTGTAGATACGGTTTTAGAGATTTTTTTTTATATATATTAGCATTGATCACCTCTCTTTCTATACTCACTCCTGAACCCATACCGTCCCCACGACCTCCCAGACTCGATTAACACATATAGATAGACGCTAGAGAGCGTGGTTCTTGGATTAGGTTTGGGGGTTAGCTAGGTTATATAGCTACATGTAGCTACGATTACAAGTACTTTAAAATTCTGTAGATAAACTTTTAGATTTTTCCCTTAGTTACATTAGCTATAGTATCACACCACATCTCTCCACCTACACCTCCCCCCCCCCCCCCCCAAACCCCTCTTGCAAGCCCCCCCCTCCCAACATCATATGAGAAGTGCCCCAACGACCGAGTGACATCCCATGAAGCACCTTCCCGAATAGCGTGGTTGTCGCCGGTGGTTGCTATCAATGATTGCCCTTGCAGGTTTTACTTTTGGCAGGGGTCGGTATTAACTAAGCTACTAGGCCAGGTACTACTAAGCTGCAGGTATTCGACGACGACTACCTAGGGATATTGCAGTCGCTTTCCCAAGCCCTACGACTACGGCTACGGTGTTTTCTCCTAATTGGGTATACCTATTGTATTGCATTGTATTGTAGTGAGTAATATCACTGGCCATGCATGGTAGGCTAGCAACCGGCTTTCTGGCATAGCAACCTGTATTTCTGGCATAGCAACCGCATAGCAACTAGGGTGTTTGGCATAGCAACCACAGGGCCTTCTGGGTAGTAGACCCTCTAGGTAGTCAACCACCACCACCATCACCACCACCACCAAGGAATACCGACTGAGTCTGGGTTTTAGTTTTAGTTTTCAGGACCCGGACACACACAAGCAGCCAACACAGCACAGCAGTAAGCAGCTAAGAAAGCACACCCATCACAAAACCCATCAAGGTCAAAATTAAAACTCCATTCATTAACGTCTCAGAAGCGTCGGGCTAATCTAACTACCGACTTCTAGAGTATCCCCACGAGCACTACCAAACCCCAACCCATTCGTCTGCGCCGAACCAGCAGCGCCTACTTGTGCTGCCACTTTTCCCAGGCTCCAAGTCACTGTCTGTTCGAAGCCCGAACAGATCCCGCGAAAGTGCTGCCACATACATAACACCCTCCCAATAAGACTAAGTTCTCGTGACCTCTCTTATAAACATCCAAAAGCCTCGAAAAGCCCTTCTGAAGAAATTCACCAATCTACGGCCCTCATAAGCAGGTGGGTAGTCTCTATGCGTCAATTGCCCGCCGCAGTCCCCGTCGGTCCTTGTGTGCACCACTTCAGCTCCAGTCACCCGATTGACGCCAGCGGTTCTATAAACCAGCTCAGTGCCACCAGGAATAGTGACCACACCAGTCCCACTATACGGAAAATCAACTCCGTGCACAAGGTCTCCTCTGCTCGCTAAGCCAATTACCCCAGCACCAACGATCTGGTTGACGCCAGCTGTTCCGCACATCAACTCAGACCCGTTAGAGATGCGGACCGTGCCGGCACCACAATGTGGACAGTCAGCACATCTGTGCCTGTGCTCGTCTCTGCCAGTAACTACATCAGCCGCATTGTGTAGTAAGCCAACCCCGTCGCGTACTATCTCAGCACCAGTGTTAACAGCTAAGTCGGTCGTTTCCCGAACTATCTCGGCGCCTTTATGGATAAAGCCAGCTCCCGTGTGTACCAAACCGGCCCCGGTATCTGCTACAAGAGATAGTCCAGAGTCTAGTATGGTGCCTAGGTCAGCGGGCCTGCTTCGACCTCTGTCGACTACTTCTCTCGATTGTGAGGTTCCGCAGGCCCTGGCTCCCACTGAGACGTCCACAGCTTCTGCTGATCCATGTACATGGACAGATCTAGAGTTATCTTCCCGACAGTAACCCGGCTGATCATGAGGCCGTTGCGAGTAATGTACTGATCGATGATCACAGCCATCAGCTCGATGTGCCTCCTCTCGGTGCAGTGCACTGCAGCTAGTCCTGGGACCTGACTCGTGGGAGGCCGCCCGGATCTCTATACTATTACCATTGCGGCCCCCACAGCCTGAGGCTTCTCTATGATCAGTGGCACCTCTACCACAACTGTAACCCCCACAACTCGCACAACCGGCATGTGCACAACCACCGGCACCAACACCACCTCGGTTCTCGCCGGAGCCCTGCCCACCAGAGCCACCCTCACCAGAAGCACAGATAAGCAGCCTCTGCTCCCCTCTGCCACCGGTGTCTTGCTCTCGTGGTTCTGGGGTCTCAATGCCATCCGGAAACGACAGAGGCCGATGATACTCGCCCGATGCTTTAATATATATTGTCAACCATCCACCTCTACTGGAGTTATACTGATAAAAGGCGGATATATCTTACCTCGACCTTGAATGGGAGCGTTAACGGCCACGAGCGGCATCTCCCACTGGGTCCGCTTGGTGGCGAGATCAACGTAGTAGAAGCGCTGGTAGCGGGTGTCAAAGCGGGCGGTCCAGCCGTAAGGGAGGACGGGGTGTGGGGGCGTGTGCGGAGGGGCATAGGCCGTGTTGCCTTCTCGGCGGGTGGATTTTCTTCTGCGGTGCATGGCTGGGTGGGGGATTAATAGGGTGGATTATATATGGTACAGTGGGGTTGTGGGAGGGAGAGGTAATGGTAGATGGGCCCGGGGGTTACAATGATGGTGATTGTGGTTTGTGGTTTGGGGGATGGGGGATGGGGGGATGGAACTTGGTTTTATTTCAAGGTAAGTAGACGTAGCCGGGGAACCGTGGCTTTACTGCGGGAGATATGTATTGCAGATGCGTGCGGGCGCCGTGGAGGACACGATAGACGCGGTTGCACCATTTACTCTGGTGCCAACACCTCTTCCAAGATACATACATTTATCATGTACCTTTTCAGCGAGAGAAGGAGTACCGCGCTGCGCACATGTCGATGCCTGTCCGGGTCCGTGGCAGCTACATGTACATACATGTAGCTGTTTCTACCGCTGATATCTGGTGAAACCCTAACGTCCCTTGCGACGAGGACTGAAGGCAAGATCTAATCTTATCTAGTAGATTGACCGTGGTTAGCTTGATGTGCTCCACGTACACACGCTCCCGGGTGGGGGCAGATGGACGGTGGGTCAAAGGAAGGACAGATCGCAGCGAGCAGCGAGCAGCGAGCACCGTTCCCCTGATAGCTACATGTACTTACATGTAGCGTGTCTTTCCCTTTGCTTTCTAGATCTAGATCCCATCATCATCACAATCACATCATCCTATCATTCGAGTTTTGCAATTTCCATGAACAGAGCTTGATCCTTCTTTTATTATAATTATGCATGCACATAGGAGAAAGGCTCATACTGAACTTCTGCTTCGCCCCAAAGGCTTGGGTAGCTCTGTCTCTCTTGTCGACCGCCGGCAGCTGGTTGATCGAAGAGACCGCCGAAAGCCGCTACCGGAAGAAGCCGCACTGCGGCTCTTTCGCCCCACGTGGTCCGTGCCTCGTCCCTCCCGCCGTCCGGGTAACACGCACACTAACAATCATTCGCCAGCCTCACCGTGCATGGGCCGATATGGTCAGATCTGACGGTGCGGAAAAAAAAAGTTTCGTCCCAACTTTCTCCTCTCGCAACCTCTCTGTTCTGCTCTCCTCCTTGCGTTATCACTCTCATAGACAACAACAACAATAATTCTCAGCCCTCCCTCCTCGACAATGGCCAAGCGAAAGGCTGAAGGGACAGCTGCCCCCAGCTCTCCCGTGAAGAAGGGAAAACCGTCAAAGGCCTCCTCGCCAGCTCCGGCTCCGGCTCCTGTGGACGTCAAATCATCGTTCCGAAAGGGCCTCTTCGACAAAGCCGTGGAAGCTCAGTACCGAGAAGAATATGCTTCCTCCACCCCGTATGCTGCCTGGACACTGTCCAACTCCCACCCCGCCCCGCCCCGCCCCGCCCCGTCCATACCCATTGCAATCCCGGTTGGGGAAATATATATATATCTATAGCTACATAGTTTGAATTAACGTTTTCCCCTTCTTTCTCTCCGCCTATAGCTACAAACACGCCGTGATCCACGAGCTAATAGACGACGCCCTCCTCCGCTCTGTCCGCACCGAGGCCCTCACCTCACTGCACTTCACGCCCAAGGAAACCGACATCTACCGCATCCACCAATCCGGTGACCTTGCCAACCTCGATGGGCTCCCGCGCGCCATGCAGAAGCTCCTCCCCTCGCTGCGCCAGCTCCGCGACGCCCTCTACTCAAAGACCTTCCGCGACTACGTCTGCGCCGTCACCGGCTGCGGCGCCCTCAGCGGCACAAAGACCGACATGGCAATCAACGTCTACACCCCCGGATCTCACCTGCTGACGCACGACGACGTCATTGGCTCCCGCAGAGTCTCGTACATCCTGTACCTCACGTCGCCTGACAGCCCGTGGCAGGAGAGCTGGGGCGGCGCGCTGCGCCTGTATCCGACGGTGGTGGCCGATGACGGCGTCACGCGGGTGCCGGAGCCGATGTGGGAGAAGGTGATCCCGCCGGCGTGGAACCAGCTGAGTTTCTTCGAGGTGCAGCCTGGGCTGAGCTTCCACGATGTGGAGGAGGTGTATGAGTGCGGCGACGACGAGGAGCGTATCCGCATGGCGATCAGTGGGTGGTTCCATATCCCACAGGAGGGCGAGGAGGGCTACATCCCCGGTCTCGAGGAGGAGCTCGCGGAGAAGAGCTCGCTGCAGCAGCTGCAGAGTAAGAGCGACACTTTCGACTTTCCGAAGCCCCAAGCAGTCACCGAGGAAGTTGAACCCCAGGCGGAGGACAACAACAACAGCAACGAAGAAGATGAAGAAGCCAGCGACGACTCAATCCTGACAGAAGCGGACCTCACCTTCCTGCTACAGTACATCGCGCCCACCTACCTGACCCCGGACACACTAGAAGAGCTCCGCGACGCCTTCCGCGAGGACTCCTCCGTGCAGATCACCCACTTCCTCTCCAAATCCTTCTCCGCCAAACTCAAAGCGCACCTCGAACCCCTCGACAGCACCCTCCACGCCGCCCCCACCGAGCCATGGCGCGTCGCAACCCCACCCCACAAGCACCGCTACCTCTACCTTCAGCAGCCCCCCTCGCGCAGCGACCCCCCACCCACCAACCCCGTCGACGAGCTCCTCACCGTCCTCTTCCCCTCCCGCCCATTCCGCAAGCTCCTCCAGCTCGCAACGGACACGCAGCTGACCCTCGCCGGCAACCTCCTCGCGCGCCGCTTCCGCCGCGGCCTCGACTACACGCTTGCCACTGGCTACGGGGGTAGCGGGGGCGCGGGCGAAATCGACGAGAACGGCGAGGGCGATGGCGAGGCTGCTGCGGCGGCGATGCGGGTCGAGGTGTGTCTGGGCATCACGCCGTCGAGAGGGTGGGGCGGCGAGGAAGACGATAACGATGATGAGGAGGCTAAGAAGACGGCGAAGGGCGCGAAGGGGAAGGCGAAGATGAAGGTGCCCAGGCCGAGTAAATTCGATGACTCGGAGAGGAGTGTTGGTGGTTACGAGATGTGCGTTCCCGCGCTTTCCCCACCCACCCAGCGGGCAATAGGCTAATAGTAGTAAAATAGGTACATGGCCGGCGACGACTCTGACAGCGACACCGACGACGACGGCGACGATGACGACGACGAAAACGAGGGCGCAAAGAAGAAGAAGGCCAAGAAGTCGGATCCCGCAATCTACAAGACCGCCAAGGCCGACGACGACGACAGCGTGCTCTTCACGATGCCTGCCGCGTGGAACAGGTTCAGTATCGTGCTGCGCGATGCGGGCGTGCTGAAGTTTGTCAAGTACGTGTCGCAGAGCGCGAAGGGCGATCGATGGGATGTTGTTGGTGAGTGGGGTGTTGCTGAGGATGGGGAGGAGGTGGAAGGTGGGGAGGATGAGGGGGAGGAAGGGGAAGGGGGCGAAGGGGAAGGGGGGGAGGATGAGTGGGCGGGGATTGAGGAGGAGGAGTAGGGGGTTGGTTTTCTATTTTGTTTTTTCTTGTCTTATCGTGCTGGATGGGTGGTGGGAGAGGAGGGGGGGGGGGGGGGTGCGTGTATACTAGTAACTAACCCCATCCGCGCAGAAATAAAAAGTTTTGCCCTTTTTCTCTGTTTTCTTTCTTTATTTTCTTCCTTTTATTTTGACATCTTGTGATTTTTGGGTGGCTTGTGATCCTCATGGAGGCGGGTTGTGATCTTCGTGGAGGTTCGGGTGCGAGTGCGGGCGGATGGCGGGGGAAACCGCGGTACACCTATCTCTAGCTTATCCATATCTCCACACCACCACCACCACCATATGACTCCAAGTCTTAACACCGGTCCTCTGGGAAGCGGCGAGGGCGAGGGCATGAGGGCTAGATTTTCTATCGACCCTCTCCCCCGTCCTTCGTCCCCTCCCAGAGGACCAGATTTAAGACTTCCGGGGGCGTGCTATACTGGACTGCAGGGCTATTCCATCACCGGGCTATCCGTGAGTAGGAACAGGCTGGAGTACCAACAATCTTGTGGCATGCATACGGCTAACAACACAACACACCCCGCCCCGACCTCTTTGAACGGCCTCCGCCCGCCTCCCAATATGCTAATTGCCGTCGCCTACCACGTGCGCCACCAACACTACTAATATCACTACTAATATCACTACCTGTGCGTCGCCGGGTGCACTGCACTGCACTACCGCTATATCGTAACAACCTATACGACCAATACAACAGATACAACTATTACCTAGACAACATATACAACCTGTACAACACCCCCCCCCCCCCCCCAACACACACATACACACACACAGCACACACACACAACAAACACACACACAGCAAACACATAGCAAACACCAGTCACCGACCACCACCAGCTGCCCTATAAGTAGCAGCACCTTTTCCACCACCTTCCCCACACCACCGACAACAGCTATAGGTAGTGTGCGGGGCATACACGCCGGCCTGCCCTGTCAATGATTCAACCACACCGCGGTGTCAATGATCACACCGCCCCATCTTTGGTCATGGGGTATCACTCGGTTGTATCGGACGACCCACGCTACTGACGCCTGTCAATGATTGGCGCAATCATGAGGTGTCACTCGCTGGTTATGGCCCGCGCTGTGGAGTGACTATATGTAGGTTTTTTTTTTTTTTTGGCTTCTGCATATAAATGTGGCGAGAATAGGTATAAATAACGTGTTGCGTGTATATAAACTAAACTAAACTAACTAATGCCCCCATGCGTGTACACTGGTCCAGGAATCTCTGCAACTTGGCCTTGACGAGGAAGGAAATGGAAGCGGGGATAAACGGAAACGGAAATGGAAATGGGAACTCGGAAGCGGAAAAGACAAACAAGAACGAAAACGAAAACGAAAACGAAACAGAAAAAGAAAAAGAAAAGAAATTCGTCCACAAGTCCATCTATCCGAAGGGGCTCTATATATCATTTTGCTGCATATGTTCGTGGGATTGGTGCTTAAAAGGAACAGTGATCGGTTCGTATAGTTCGTCTCCTTCTAGGACACTGTGTTCTGTTTAGCTATTTGGATGCTACCGCCGAGTCTGGGGCGAGGGGAGGGGGTGGGGGGTGATGCCAGGGGTAAAATACTCACTCTTCGATAGGTTTCAGGAATCTTGCGGTTGCGTTGACCTCATCTTCTTATCTCTTCTGGATATGACTTTCTCTAGCATCTCTACTATTTTCTTGTGGCCATTTTGGTCTGCCGCCTGCAGTGCTGTGTATCCACAACGCTCAGATGCCGGAGCATTGACGTCTGCTTTCTCCCTTAGCAGTTTCAATACTATATCAAAGTGTCCTGCTTCCGCTGCCGCCTGCAGTGCTGTGCGTCCGCCGTAAAATCCTGCCTTGGCATTGACATCTGCCTCCTCCTCTAGTAGTCGCTCTACTATATCGAGATGACCTGCTCCTGCTGCCGCCTGCAGTGCTGTGCGTCCGCCCTCAGATGCTGCTCCATCGGCATTGACATCTGCGCCCTTCTGTAGCAGTCGCTCTACTATATCGAGATGACCTGCTTCCGCTGCCGCCTGCAGTGCTGTGCGTCCGTTGTCTATTGCTGCCTCGGCATTGACATCTGCCTTCTCCTCTAGTAGTCGCTCTACTATATCGAGATGACCTGCTCCTGCTGCCGCCTGCAGTGCCGTGCGTCCGGCGTCTGGTGCTCCATCGGCATTGACATATGCCTTCTCCTGTAGCAGTCGCTCTACTATATCGAGATGACCTGCTTCCGCTGCCGCCTGCAGTGCTGTGCGTCCGCCGTCGTCTACTGCCTCGGCATTAACATCTATATTCTCGGCCTGTAGCAGTCGCTTTACTATATCGAGGTGTCCTGCTTCCGCCGCCGCCTGCAGTGCTGTGCGTCCGCCGTCTTCTGCTGCCTCGGCATTGACATCTGCCTTTTCCTGTAGCAGTCGCTCCACTATATCAAGGTGACCTGCTCCCGCTGCCGCCTGCAGTGCTGTGCGTCCGTACTTTCCTGCCTCGGTATTGACATCTGCGTTCTCCTGTAGCAGTCGGTCTACTATGTCCAGGTAACCTGTTCCCGCTGCTCTCTGCAGTGCTGTGCGTCCGTGCTTTCCTGCCCGGGCATTCACGTCTGCCCCCTTCTGTAGCAGTCGCTCTACTATATCAAGGTGTCCTGCTTCCGCTGCCGCCTGCAGTATTGTCTGTCCATCCTTTGCTACCGGGGCATTGATGTCGACATTCCCCTGTAGCAGTCGCTCCACTATATCTAGGTGACCTTCTTCCGCTGCCGCCTGCAGTGCTGTGCGTCCGTTGTCTATTGCTGCCCCGGCACCGACACCCGCCTTCTCCTGTAGCAGTCGCTCTACTATGTCGAGGTGTCCTGCTTCCGCCGCCGCCTGCAGTGCTGTGCGTCCGCCGTCTTTTGCTGCCTCGGCATTGACATCTGCCTTTTCCTGTAGCAGTCGCTCCACTATATCAAGGTGACCTGCTCCCGCTGCCGCCTGCAGTGCTGTGCGTCCGTTCTTTGGTGCTGCATAGTCATTGACATCTACCCTCTCCTCTAGCAGTCGCTCTACTATATCAGGGTACCCTGCTTCCGCTGCCGCCTGCAGTGCCGTGCGTCCGCCGTCTTCTGCTGCCTCGTCATTGAGGTATGCCTTTACCTGTAGCAGTCGCTCTACTATGTCGAGGTGCCCTGCTCCTGCTGCCGCCTGCAGTGCCGTGCGTCCGTTCTTTGGTGCTGCATAGTCATTGACATATGCCTTCTCCTCTAGCAGTCGCTTTACTATGTCGAGGTGACCTGCTCCCGCTGCCGCCTGCAGTGCTGTGGGTCCGTACTTTCCTTCCGAGGCACCCACGCCTGCCCCACACTTTAGCAGTCGCTCTACTATATAGAGATGACCTGCTCCCGCTGCCGCCTGCAGTGCTGTGCGTCTATCCTTTCCTGACTCGGGATAGAGAAATACCTTCTCCTGTAGCAGTCGGTCTACTATGTCCAGGTGCCCTGCTCCTGCTGCCGCCTGCAGTGCTGTGCATCCGTTCTTTGGTGCTGCATAGTCATTGACACATACCCCCTTCTCCTCTAGCAGTCGCTTTACTATGTCGAGGTGTCCTGCCTCCGCCGCCGCCTGCAGTGCTGTGCGTCCGCCGTCTTCTGCTGCCTCAGCATTGACATTTGCCTTCTTCTCTAGCAGTCGCTTTACTATGTCGAGGTGCCCTGCTCCCGCTGCCGCCTGCAGTGCTGTGCGTCCATTGTCTTGTGCTGCATTGGCATTGACATCTGCGTTCTCCTGTAGCAGTTGCTCTACTATGTTGAGGTGTCCTGCTTCCGCTGCCGCCTGCAGTGCTGTGCGTCCGGTGTCTTGTGCTGCCTTGGCATTGACATCTGCCTTCTCCTCTAGCAGTCGCTTTACTATGTTGAGGTATCCTGCTCCCGCTGCCGCCTGCAGTGCTGTGCGTCCGCCCCATCTTGCTGCCTCGGCATTGACATCTGCCTTCTCCCGTAGTAGTCGCTCTACTATGTCGAGATACCCTGCTCCCGCTGCCGCCTGTAGTGCTGTACGTCCATACTCTCCTGCCGGGGCATTGGCATCCCCCTTCATATTCAACAGTAAATCCACTGTTTTTGAATGACCCCCCTCTGCCGCTGCTTGTAGCGCTGTCATTCCCGAGAATTTCTGTACCCGTCTACTTACTCTAGCCAAACCACCATTTAACATGTCAAAAGATCGCCCCCGAATATCATCTATAATTTCGTTCAGACTATTATATCCTTCGCCCTGCATCTTTAAGTAGGTAGTTATAGGCTTCGCATTAATATCAGCGTCAAGATTCGAAAGTAATCCCACAAGTTCCGACCCGCCAGCACCTGCTGCCGCCTGCACCGGAGTCCTCCACTGGTCTATTAGCATAAGATCAAGAGGTACTTGGTCGTCGTCCAGGGAATCTGTACTGTGAGTTTTGCGGCGTGTATGATCAGGGTGTCGTTCCGAGTTGTGGGGTCGAAGATATGGACTCAGGTTATCCATACCCATAAAAGTTCCTTTATTCCGACGGACGTTTATTACAATTTGTGCTGCTTCGAATTTTAATTTAGGTGATATCGTGCCACGAGCTGAGATATTTTGATCCCATATTTGCCTTGCAAGCTCTCCAGCCTCGTCTTCCTTTCCCTCATGCAGCGCAAACCAAGCAAATTCCAAAACTATCCAGAATCCAGATCTCTGATGAATGTTCCAGTCCTTCAAGGCCGTAAATGTTTCTTGGAATATCTCGTTGAAGTCCATTTTGGGATTGTGTTCCCTTTGACTAATGCATAGATTCACCAGACCTTTTACCCGAATAAGAGTGTGATCTATGTTATCTCGAAATTCCGTGAAAGCTGAATTCCACTCTTTTACCGATTCCTCACTGGGAGGTATCCTCAAAAGCCTTTTAGTTCGTTCTAAACGACGTCGATCCATCGCGAGCACGATAATCGGTCTATCAGGAGCTGCCCTTATATTGGAATATATATAGTTATCAATTTGACGTGATTCGTTCAAACGGCCTTTACTCTCCAAAAAGGTTGCCACGCTTCTCAGATGTCCGTGAACATCATGAACTGAAAGTGATTTTTTGGCGGCGCGTAACGCAGGAATGATGATCATGTAGGCCTCTTCAATTGAACCAAGATGAGATTCATGAAAGCTCGATGCGAGTAAGTCGACGTTCGTGTTTGTCAGCACACATTTATTCCAGAGATCACCTTCCACATCAGCATCTTTCTCGTTGGGTTGAGCAGTAATAGTGCGCTGTCCGGTTTTTCCACCAACGTCCTTGATAAGTTCCACCACCGCAAACATGAACGCTGCGTATAACTCCTGAACACAAAGCGTTTTGAGATCCGATCCAGTATCGACACACCAAAAATCTCCTTTGCCAGTCGTCCGTCCAAAGTATCGTATTTTATCAGCCGGCGATTGCTTCTTCACTGGAGTCGTCCCGCGGTAGCTCCATATTTTGTGGTCAAACATATGTTCGGAAGAAGCGGCGGATAAACAACGAACATTTGAGTATTGACCTAATTCTTTCCTGGTCCTTTCCCTGGATTCCTCCATAAGAGAAGATATCCAAAGACAGAGGACAGCTTCAAGCTCTCCTTCCTTAACCTTCCATGGTTTCCACTTGTTGTTCTGGTCTTTCTTTCTCTCGATAGTCATCTTCACCTCCTCCACCTCCATCTCCTTCTCCTCCACCTCCTTCTCCTCCACCTCCTTCTTTTCTACCTTCTTCTTTTCTACCTTCACCCGGAGAACCCACTCGAAACTCGATTTATCTTCGTCTTCATCAGGCATTAACACCATATGAAGGTAAATAGTGTTAATTGCTGCCTCTATCGCTTTCTCGAGGTTGTGAACCTGGACTCCGTCTTCTAATTCCCAGTTTTTTGATAACTTTGCAAGATCGGTTCTGATAGCCATGACTTCTGTTGCGGTATTGTTTGTAGGATTATTTTCTGATATGGACACTCCAGGCGATTCGGGCCCTGAAATAACCATCCATGTCTTACAGCGCTTCAAGTCCTTTGCGAGCCAGTCTAGCTCATGTCCCTCTACATCATCCGGCTTCTTGATATCATTGTCGCTCATTCTCTGGATGTGTGCACAGGATCGTATAGCAGTCATGATCAAAATAGCTCCCAATTGTGCCGCAGTTACTGATGAGTGCAATGCGCGCATTGCGACAAATTGCGCGATAAAGCCAACTAGGGAAGCACCAACGCCAACTATAACCAGAAAGGGTAGAATCGACCTCGCTTTAGAATTGTTATGTGATGTTATGATCGTTTCGCCGGAAGTTTTGCGTGCGAATGATTCGAACCGTTGATCGCCGACAGTTTGCCCTCCTTGTTGGAGCCAGATGATTTCAAAGGCACCAATATTATTATCATCGGCTGGGACCCAAACCTTTTCTTCAGTGCTCAACTCCACAACCTGCGCGCACAGAAACATTCCAGTGGCAAGCACCACTGTGCCTGCTAGAAAGAGCGGGAAACCATAACCTATCGGCGGAGCATCGTTCTTTTCTAATTTCAAAATGTACTGAGTAATTGCGGCATACACTAGAACGCCGCCCTGAAGAATAACCCCAATTACAACGAAAAGGATCAAAACCCATTTTCGTACAGGTATCATGCTGACGTTCAGTGAGAGGTTGGGCGGATTTTGGCGCTTTCGGTATTCTTCGATCTCCGGATCGGGAGACTCTTTAGTGTCCTGATCAGTGTCTTTCCCTTTCCCTTTTTCCTTGTATAGCTTTCTACTATAGATTGCATCCACGAAGGTGCAAATTTGATTCCCAACTCCCGGTTCCGAACCACTCTCATCTGGTTTTTCGTAAACCAATTGTAACAGGACTGGGCGGCCAAGAACCCTAACGACGCCTTCACCGTTCCACAGCTCGCAGACATCTGAAGATGTGGAGGACATCAAATCGGCCTCCACCTCACCACGACTTTCCTTCGCTCTGCCAACCAACGACCTCAATTTCGGGCTGCCTCCAACACGGATCGCAGACACTATGGCGGTGATGACACCCAAAGGAGCAAGACAAAATATTAGATTATCAACCCAACTCAACGTCTCACTCATGTACTGTTTGGTGACTTGCTCGCCGAAGAGCGCGAGTAATGGAGCCAAATCGCTCCCAAGGTTATTGGCGAAATCATCCCACCCTTCTGCTGGTTCACAAGCAGAGCCTGTACAGGCGGCACGGGCATAACCGGGGATGTATAGAGAAGCAATAAGAATGTTTAATCCTATGAGGATGTTACTCCTAGATTTGACGAGAGGGAAAACTATATATGGTGGTCTCATTTTGTGTAATGGGTAGAGTAATTTGTTATTTCCTTTAAAAATTTATAGACGTTAGCCTACTAGGAACAAAAAATAAGTTACACACAACAACAATAAAATACAGAATACACTTACTTTGAAGAGTATGGTCATGTGACCACACAAAGTCCAAAGGTGAAGACGAGGACTACAAGTCAAAGTTCAGATTAATACCAGGATTCCTAGTAGTAAAGAATTCAGCATCGACTTCATCATACTCTGGTAAGACATTGGTCCCTATATATACCTTTCACAAAAGCCTCTTCCCAATAGTAGACAGAGGTCCAGCTATATGTAGCTTAATGTCTGGGATTCTTCAATAACTTCGAACTTTAGCACTATGTAGTAATTTGACTACCAGCGCCACGTACAAGGTTAGCTAGAGTAGAGTTATAATCATTCCAACCCATGTGAATGTCAAGGTATGAAATTATTGAAACGGTATTGGAATTGAGTCCTACCTAAGACTTGTATGTGGGTGTAATGAATTCTTGCGCTTTTGATATATATGTTCTTTGTGGCCAAATACCACGAGGGGAGATCTGAGGCAGTTTAAATCCTAGAGAGACCGACTTACTGTGAATCTGCGCATGCCATACCATGTTTTTTCTAGGCAAGCTTTTTTTTTTTTTTTTTTTTTTTTTTTGCAAAAAAGGGGGGGGGGGCATTTCACTCATCACATTTCCAATTTCTGTACCGATTCATGATCGGTCGTGGTCTATAGGCTTCAAAAAGCGATTCGAGAGTAAGACACTACTAGTAGCATTTAATTCAGAGCTTACGTCTCTACCACGCCGGAGTTCAATTGTGCCCGATTGGCAACCCACTCTACTCTAGAGACGGAATCTGAAGAACCCATAGACACTACATGTACACATGATTGCATGACGGGATCTGCGCGTAACCGGGAAGACCTCCAGGGCCTGAGTATTTTTATTCATGCAGCACCAACTAATGCCCCTTTGCCAACCCGGCCAGCCGATTGAAGGTAAATACATAACTATCAAAGGGAAACGCGCAACGCGCGCAGCGTTGTTTCCCACTGTTTCAAATCATGCAACTCGTGTCAACGATGTCTACTTAATAGCCTGTCATTCGTCCAGTCTATCAATATTCAAAGTCGCTGCATTAGAGCGTATTTGCCAACCGTCAATTTCAAGAATTTACAAATTGTGGGGCTCCGAAATGGCAACCGGGGCTGTGAATTTTGAATTTCGGTGGGGCGGCGTGCTGTGAGATATACCAGGAGGATCACAAGTACCCAGTTTTGTTACTACCGAAGCTAGTATCATGGGTATGAATTTTCAGTTCCAACAGCGTATTTCACAGGTAGCGTGATGGATTGTCTGGTTTTCGGGGTTTATTCTGTCACACCGTTAACCAGATCGATTTTGGTCACTGAGGGGAACTGTCAATTTTACCTCCCGAAACTGTCAAGTTTGAAGTGTCAATAGTTGAAATTGACGGTTGGCAAATACGCTCTAATACTCATTGATTCCTCGCAAACCATACATATATGTAGTGCGTCCATGCTCGTAGGCCACGTAGCGCGGGAGATAGAGCTTAGGGCCCGTTTGGGAGCGGTCCAAAACGGAGTTATTAGGGCTTGAAACTCCGTTCTGGTGAAAACTCCATTCTGAGAAAACTGGTTGTGTTTGGCGGCCCATTTTGCGAGTCTAGAAAACAACGTTAACCCTATGAAAACGGAGTTTTTAAAAAAGTAGCTCTGACTTACTTTTTCTTATCACAACTGTAACATCTTTTGCCATCACCCAATTTTGCCTCGTTGAACCATCAACATCACAGTCTCCCAAACAGTACACATCATGCGTAAAACTCCGTTTTAAAATTTCTTCGTTTCCTCCCCACTAACGGAGGCCTAAGCAAAACGGCGTTTTCCACAGTCTCGGCTCCCAAACGGGCCCTAAATACTACATGAGAACATTTAGAGTATTCGCAGCAGGTAACAAGTACCCGAAAATGCAAGCCCTAATCTGCAATTGCCATTGGAGTAGAAGTCAAAAATACACCAAAACCTTGCAGCTGCATTTTCGGGTACTTCAGGCCTGTTGCGAGTAGCTCTAGCTAACCTAACTACGAGAAGGTTCGCCCGCGAACGGCCCGACTCAATGTCTATCAAGTCAACCACAAATCCACGTGGGAGAATATACGCGCGTTTGTAGAGTACATGACGATACCTATCGAGTAGACCATCACAGTAGGTGCATATAAATATGGCTGTAGTTTCAGAAATAAGTGAAAGAGAAAAAAAAAAGAGAAAAAGAAAACTACCTAATGCCACTATTACATAAAGTTGGATGTTGGATTTCGAATCATAAGGACCTAGGAGAACTAGAAAATTCTTAGATCGCTCTCCCTATCCTTCTACAGCCTCAGAAAGAGATTCGGCTCATATACATATGTACACACTAAAATATGTGTATATGTACCTACATGTACCTACACAAACATCCCCAACACCAGAGTGCCAAGTATTCCCGCGCTTTCCATAAGCTCGCCACACGAAACGGAGGTCACGAAACTAGGCCCTTAAGGGGTTCCTCTATCTCCAACTCTATCTGCAGATTAAATGCTGTCTGTACTCGTAAATTCATGACGTTTCCGGACACGACTGCTATTGCATACCATATAAAAAAGCGCCAAATTCAACTTTTTGTATGTCATGCAATATTGGTCGTGTTCGGAAACGCTATGAATAGACGAGTAGATGATCACTCGCAGCAAAAATGCAAGTTTTCGGTGTATGTTTCACTTCTACTCCATTGGTGCTTGTTGTCGGTCCCGGCTGTTCTAACTTCATATCAGCCAATCATCTACCGCGACTTTCTGGAATATGTATGAGAGCATATCGGCACTTACTACTCGCAATAAAGTCTGCGTGTCAACCGCACCTAAAATATCAACAGACTTTATTTTTTGGCGTCTCATGAAGACACATCATGCATGCCTTCTCCAAAGGCGACGTTGAAAGGCTCAGACCCCACTACATGCGTCCCGTCTCCAAGGAGGGCGCAGGGTGAGTTGTTACCAGCAGGCGGCCCACCATACCGAACTGACTTCGAACTCAGGGCAAAATTCTCCTGTCGAGTGAGAGATGATGATGCGCCTTCCCACCATAATCCAGGCGCATCGCCCTCAGGCTCGATCTACATCCCAAAAATTTACTCTTAGCACCGTGACTACCCACCGAGCCCACCCTTGCAAGAAAACAAACACACCGCTGGAATCCAGTACCACCACCGCCGGTAGCGAGAAGCAAAAGGGGAGGGGGTGCTCAACGCGCCGTATTGTACATCTATTTTACCTTACGTATGCACCTTAATTCTCGATCTCGAGCTCTACCACAATATCAAATCTCCCAGCCCAGCCCATCCGGATCCCATCCCACCCCATCCTACGGTCAGTACCAAAACCAGGGCCGCGGGATTTCTCCCCCAAAAAGTGCCGTCCCAATATGTATTTCCCCAAATTGCCATCATGCCTCGCCCCTTGAGATGTGTATATTGCAATTGCAAGCCGGGTGATATCGCATGATTCGAGGCCTGGCAGGTAGGTATTCCCCCATCGAAGCCCTAACTAGATCAGAGTAGTTAGTATAATTCATACAGACTAGACCAAAATTCGAACCTACCCTATCTTACCCAGTCCAGTCCAGTCCTGTTCTATCCAGCACGACCCAGACCCTCAGCATTACTCACGCGTGGGGTTTGAAAGCCAATGGCTTACACACATTGTGCGTCCGTCCCACCGACAGATCCCCAAACCTCCCTTAATTCGCTACCTCCCTACGTAAAATAAACTTCACCCCCACCAGTTTTTCCGGACCAGGGGGGGAAGGGGGAAGGATGAAGGGATGGAGAAACGTAGAAGGAAAGTATAGAGAACAGGAAAGCAAGAAAGCAAAAAAAAAAAGTGGGACCATAACTGCATATGAGATTTGAACGTCCCTCCCCCTAACCATATCTACCACCCAGCACCGAAGCGCACATACCCCCCCCCCTTCTCTCTCCTGCTCCAACGGTCTGACACTGACAGCCGTTGACGTTGCATGCATGCATAGCCGAGGCCAGAGCGAGAGTAAGGCGAGAGGTTCGGCACATAGGGAGGTCCTATAGGTATATTCAAAGAGTAGAGTACCTGCCTAAGAGTACTCTAAACATCATGTAAGGCACCCAACATGGCAGCATTGAATTCCAAATCTACGGGATTCGAATGATGAAGGGGAATGGGAGGGGGGACTTTATCGGGTAAACGTACACCCACCTACGTATATACTAATCCTTAATTGTATTTATAACCAGCTAGGTTACAAGTAGTTAGTCTCCCGCTGCCATATTGTCGTACCTGCATGCTTCTCCACCCCCAAAGACCATCCACCCCTTAACCTAACCACTACCTGCCATAAATCTCCGCGCCCGTTTCAAAAACAGAGAAAAAAATCTGCAAGTCAAGTCACAACAGCGGAGTCACTATGTAGTACGCAAAGCACTTTATTCTCTTTCTTTCCCGCTATATAAAGCAGCAGCTATGGATCCCCGCCCCCGCCCCCGTTCCGCTCGCCCGCCAGCATCCAGCGCTGCGTCTTCAAGAAAAGAAAGGTCCCTCCCAGCCCCAAACACACCCCCCCCCCCCCCCCCAAACCCCGAAGAATTCCCCTTTTATACCCACTAGAAAAGAAACAAAAAAGAGACCCAATTTTTTTGGAGAGAGTAAATGACAGCCCAATTGAACCACCCATCCATAAAAGCATTGAAACAAAAAAATGTTAATCCGTTGCCCAAACATCCCAGAAAACACAAAGAAAAGCAATGACGTGAAAGGAGAAAGGGTATGACCAAAAAAAAGACGCTCATTCCAAAGGAAAACACCCATAGAGAAAGATATAAAAACGAACCATCAAAAAGCAATCCAGTTGGGTGGGGGGGAGTAAAAGGGAAGAAGAAGTTTCTAGATACAAAACATTAATGAGCGGTGGCCGTGAAAAATACCCCCCCAGAAACCCAATTGCAATCAATTTGCCGGAATAAAAAAAACGCTATCGCCATGATCCCATAAACCCTGAATAAACGAAGATACGCAGTAAAAAGATAACAAAAAATAACCAAATGAACCCCTATGACAAAAAAATAAAAAATCAAGACGCCTCTCCCTAATGCTGCCCAACGCGAAGTGGCTTTCTAGCCCAACCAACCAATGTCCTCCATCCCGAGCCTCTTTCCTTGGCCTCATTGAGGACGCTCCCCACTGTATCTGCCGCCAAGGACCACTCGCCCTCTCCGGACTCATTGCTAGTCTTCAGCATCCATTTTTCCCAGATCCAGCTGCCCACCAATCCTGTGATGGGGGAAGCATTTTCCAGACTGCCCTTTTTGGTGCTGCCCTCTTCCCACGCTTCAATCTTCTTCCGCACCTCCTCTTTGGCCAGATCAAGATCCTGCGACTCGTGAGCGGGGAGGTTCTCGCCCTTCGATGGAACCTTTGGCTTCGAGCACGGCGGGGCCATTGGCAAGAACATCCAACTACGCTTGATCTCCCCATACCCCGCTCGGTTCAGCCTCGAGATCCATTTCTTCGTCGGCTCGGGATCATAGCCCTTCGCCTGAAGGCTCTTTCCAAACTTCTCCGAAAGCTCGCTCCCCAATGGGCCCGGGTTAATGATGTCGTTATCAAACAGGGTAAACTCCAGGTGTCCACCAGGCTTCAGCACACGCAGACACTCTTCCAGGCATAGGTCATACTCGTCCATGTTCTGGTCGTTCTGCAAGCGAGAGGGGACGGTGGTCTTCAGGTTCAAGTACAACGTACGTGCCGAAACCACGTCAAAGTGGTTGGACGGGAACGGGAGCTTCCAGAGGTTCGAAACCACCAGGTGCCGGTGGTTCTTCGGGCCCCGGTATTTATCCGCCGAAAGTGGGGTATCCTGGGACTCGGGGTCCTCTGCCGAGGATTTGCCGTGAGTGCGAGTGGTGACAGTGTAGACCTTTGCCTTTGGATAATCGTAGGCGCAATGCCAGCCCCAGTCCGCTAGATAGAACCATTAGAAACCATCGAAAGAAAAACCCCATATTGTAGATGCGTAGTAAATAAGCAGTAGTGAATGAATGCATACCGATAGGTAACCCGCCCAAATCCAGCACCCGCCTCCTCTCATGATCCGGAACCGACCCCTCGACCACCACATTCTCCAGCATCTGCGTCGCTCTCTGATCCATCTTGACCGTCGCCCGCCTCGTCAGCCTCTTTGCCGATGCTGCCAGCAAAGTCTCGTGTCCCGGACTAATGATGACCCTTCCGAAATTCATCCATCTCAGGGCCATTAGCGCCCATAGGCTCGTTAGTATCTCCTCCCCGACCTCCCTCTGCTTGGCAGGCACAGTCCCGCCCGCCGCCTTTCCGCCCGCAGACCTTCGCTTCGATCCGCCTGCAATCAGCGGGTAGTCTTGTCTCAGATGGGAGCAGATACGCTGCGCCTGCAGTGCATCGAAGCGAGGCATCCTATGCACAAACGAGTCATTCTCGCCCGAGCTCTTCACGAACGTCCTGAATGCGCGAAGATACGACGAATCCTTCGCGGCATCGTCCTGCTGTTCATCCAGTAGAAGAATCTTCTCCTCGGCAGGGGTGGGCATCATCGACGCCGTCACAACCTCTGGAGCCAACGACTGCAGGATAGCCTCCTTTGCGTCCTTGTCATCCTCGGCAACGCGGATCTGCACTTCCTTATAAGTGTCGGTGGTCTCCATGTAGGTATCCATCAGTGTCTCGATGGATTTGCTTGTTGAGGCTGAAACGTCACCCGGACTCTCCGGCGGGAGCTCGTTTAGGATGACTTGCGTCATTTGCGGAGTCTGCGGGGGAAAGTATGTGTCGGAATTGTTATTGTAGTGTTGATGATTATTGCTGTGGTGCCGTGGTGAGAAGTTCTCGCTTCTGCTTGAGAAGAGCGGTAAGACACCGAGGCCGTCGGGGGTTTCGTCAAACAGGATTCCGGTTGGGATGAAGTCGTCGTCGGACGGGAGCGTCTCATAGGCGGTTGTGGGTTGGGGGGGTTGCCGTGGTGTATAAGAGGATGGACTGTGTGTAAGCGCCGGGCTCCTTGTCGCGTGACCGGGCAACTCCGACCAGCTGGACGAGGAAGCGCTGGGTGTAAACGACGAGTGGAATAGTGTTGGGGAAGGTATTCTGATGATCCCCAGGCCATCATTTTTCTCTGCCTGCTCGAGGAACTGTCTGCTTAATCGTTTACTGCGGTTCTTCTCGACAGGAGCAGCACTGATTGGGGCATCGGGGGGAGGACGGTGCGGAGGTGGGTTTGATGATGCAGGAGATGTGCCATTTGTTTCTCCTGGCTCTCTGGCAGAGGATAGTGATGATGATGGAGTGATGGGGTTGTGGTTGTGGTTGTGGTTGCTGTTGTTGCTATTGCCATTGTGGATTGTGGTGATGGTAAGGTTCTTGGTGTCGAGGGCAAAGAGTATGGGCTTTGGCGGGGGTGTTGGAGGGGCAGAGGGAAGGGATGTGACGGATATGGTGAGAGGTTCGTCTACAGACGCAGGAGCACTTCGAGGAGGAGTAGTAACAACGACCAGCGACCTCTTCTGCGTCCAGTTCTTTGGCGGCGGCGCAGGCGGAGGGGGAGACAGTGATCCATTATATCGCATATCATCCTGCATTGGCACACTCCTCGGCGTCACTCTCGATCTTGGGCTAACAGGACTCTCACCACCACAACCACCACCACCACAACTACCACTACCACCACCATTGCCATTCTTGCGTCGCAACATCAGATACCCATCCTCGTCCGTGTCGCCACCGCCATCGGAGGGCAGAGAGTCCTCATTTAGATCCTCGTCCAGAGAGTCGTCAAATAGATCCTCATACTCCCCATACAACGCGTCCTGCCCCTTCCTCGCCGGCCTCGTGCGGTTCTTCCTGAATGTGGTTGGGTCGAACTCTGTGTCCGCCTGCTGCTGCTGCTGCTGCTGCTTGCGATTTCGGCCCAGGAAACTTTTTGAACGGCTCGACATGATTGAGGTGTTGCTTGTGCCCACGCTCGCCGTGGGCGAGCCCGACCTCTTATTAATAAACGTCCCCCTTGACATCCTTGTAGAATTGCGAGGGGATGTTGATGATTGGGAATCGGAAGAACCCCAGGGTGAGAATGGCCGTTGCAGGGGATCCGGGACCACCATGGAAGCGGAGTAGGAGCTAGTGGGTGAACCTGGTTTCGAGGTTATTATCGACGGTGCGGACGTGGGTGCCGATATTGTGGACAGCGCGGACGACGACGAGGACGAGGCCGCCCGCCGAGGAGACCTCGATTTCGTTCCCATCCTGAACATCATATTGTTGACCACTGATGCAAACAAAGGGGCACCAGGAGAGGGGAAAACACTGGCAGTAGTAGCAGCAGTAATAATTGTATTATCACCAGTAGTAGCAGCAACAGTAACAACGGTGGACTTGATCTGACGGGGGGTATAGGGGGACGACGGATCAAGAGTAGCAATAGTAACAGCAGCAGCAGCAGGCTCACTTTGAGGAAACGGGGTGGTGTTATTGCTTTGTGGAGAACAGTGGGGCGTGACAGGCGGGACAGATGAGGTTTGCACGGAAGGCGTATATTGGACCGCCCACGGAGCCTGTTGCCGTTCGTCTCTTGAATCGTCGCGAGCAGCAGCAGCAGCAGGTCCACCTACCACTGCACCTGCGCCTGTGCTCAGACGTAT